CAAATTCGTCTCCATTTTCACTAGAAAATTATAAATAGAATTATATAAAAGACTGCCTATACATTAACCACAATTACTGGTTTTATTATTCAAATAAGCCCACCTCATTAACCCTTTGCTGATTCCACTTAATGATTAAGCTAAGCTGGCTAATTAATATTATTCACGCCATTGTTCAAGGTTTATTTTTTTCTTCAACCTAAGATTATATATATTTCAGATATTCAACGACTGAAGCGATTTTAAGGCATGCGAACAATTTTCAAACTCCAATTCTAAGCCGGAATTCCAACCCCCAGGCACAAAGGAAACCTGCAAACGAGGAGCCAGCCAGCCAGGATGCCGAGGAGGCATTTGACCAGGCCAGCCCCTTGCATGTTCACAGCTCAAAGGCGGCCAAGTGCCATGCCACGACTCTGGCTTTGGACCTCAAAAAAGGAAACTCAAAACTCAAAGCTCACTTCCAGTACGAAATCCAATTGACAGACAAACATGCAAGCAGGCCATCGATAAATGGGGAAAACCCACTGAAAAACGCTTTGGACTTGGACCAAGAACGAAAAGCTCAACTTTAGCTTATTTTTTCTGAACCGTATACACTGGGAAAATGAAGTCTAGTCTGAAACATGATGGATTTTCTTTGGTAGATTATGGTTTTTTACATTTTGATTTAGGTAATTTAAATTATTGATTATTTTTTAAAATATTTTCTTAGCTTTAGAAAGCCATAAACTTTATTTAATTCTTCCAATGAATATTCTTTTATATTTAGATTTCAATTTAAATTTGTAGGAGCTTCTTTTAAGAATTTTATTTACAGAAAAAAAGAATTTCTTGCCAAGTTTCCATTTATTTTCAAAACTATCTCGCTTTCTCCAAGTGCATAAACGAAGTGCAATGCTGGGAGTAATGGTGGTGAGGTAAGAAATGCAGCTTGAATATGAAAAATCAGACCTCAAATCAAGGGAAAATTTTTCACATCCCTTAATCCATTAAATTTCCTGAACAAAAATTTATTGCTTTCCGCAAGACGATTTGCTTTCCGACTGCAACAAACCCGAAATTAGTCAAAGTAACCGAGAGGCAATCAGAGGAGCTCCCAATAGTTTTTCCCACTGACCAGGGCCAGGGCAGGGAATTTTCCAAATGAAAATCAAGCCTCGGCTATATAGCTTTGACCTAACCTCACATTCAAGTAATTGACATTCTGTTGCGCTATTCGACCCAGGACGTAGGACGAAGGATGGCGGTCGTTTGAGGATTGTGCACGACTGGAAGGAGGGTACCGAAAGGACCAAGGAGCAGGCGGTTCAATTGCAGCAGCTCCTTTTGCTTGTCTTGCCGGGGATTTATTGCAACCTCAGTTGTTTGCCATCTTCGTTCTTGGCCCTCGTCGCCAGTGAGCCACCCAGCCAGCGAGCCAGGCAGCCAGTCAGCCAGGTTACTCTTTTCTCTCTCGTCTATATTTTTTTATGGGAGTACATCTAAGCTGTCATTTCGGAAAACGACGCCCATTGCAATAGCGGCGAGATTTGATCAGTTGTTTGCCTTTGCTTTATATATCTTTCACTGTTTTAAAATTGCACTCATGTGACTTTGGCTCAGTCACTTGACGCTCGTCTCCACTCGCCCATACAATGGGCACACAATGAGCTGGAAAGCTGTCAAAAGAGAAGACTTCTAAGCATCATTTGATACCCTTTTGATGGGGTACGCATGATATTTAATGAGGTTTGGTTTGGCTATAGATTATTTTGAGAAAGAAAGCGGATATTAACAAGGTGTCAAGTATAAAAAAATAATTGTAAGTCGTGGACAGAGATATGAAATACCTACTAAAATTAATAATAAGTTTAATATGCCTAAGAAATTGTAATAAATCGAGTTTTATCGGTTGACCTATCATAATAATCGAGAAAAAGAATCGATATCAATAAAAGTCGCCTTCAATCAATAAAAAAATGTTTAAAAAACAAGTTTATTTTGTTTAAAATGATGTAAAATCGACGTATATTTACTAACAATTATAATTACCTTAATATATATTCAAAATTCTACCATATCTTTAGATTTATTTATCGGATTAAATTTATCGTTGCCTTATCGAGGATTATAACTCATTTTTTGCTACAATAAAATAAACTATCCTAATATTTTTAGCTCTTACTTGATATAATATTTAAGCTCTTTTCAAACTCATCTTTAGAAAATCTCAGTATTTATATAATTCCAATAAAAATACCACACAATATTTAAGAGTTAAAAAAATTATATTTTTAAAATAAAGATCCCCCTCCTTTGCCCACAGTGACTGCAGTCCTTCAGCAACAATTTTTTCGGCCAACAAACTGGCTGGCTGGCTTCTGGCAAATTGTATCTGTATTTTTATGTGTTTTATCCTTCGTTTTTTTAGTTGGTCCTTGGTGGCTGCTCTATTCTAAAGCGACAACAGAATAAATTTTGCTTGAACAATTTTGTTTCATTTTATATTTGGTTTTTTTTTTTTTTGGAGGTCTGGTAAATCCCCAATGCAGGCGACTCAAGCTACCCAAACATACGATGCACATTCATATTCATTCTCGTTCTCGGGGTGGAAACACATCCTTGGGGAATTACCACACAAAAGTGAGTTTATCCTTTAATTTCGAAATTTACACACACATTTCTTCAACTTTTCTTTCGATTTAAATGTTTTTATGTTGGCCATTAATTATGGATTTTATTTTTCAGAAAATCTTTTCAAGTGCCCGAAGCGTGTGAAGATTTATTTGCTCTTCTCGTGTTGCCAAAAATCTAGTTTTCATTTATTTAAAAGATTTTCATTTTTGTGCACTTTTGTGACTTAAGCCCAGCCTGAAAATCCAGCTCTAATTGGCAGCTTTTCTTGCAGCCTGTCAAACACTATACTTGAAGAAAATTTCAGGTCTGAAAACAGCAAAACCCTGAGAGAAATAAGTTGTTCGCTCTCAGAATTTTCCCTTGGTCCTTTGATGCAAATATTTACATTATATTTCCCTACCGTAGGTTAGTTTTTTATCTCCCACCGTGTTTATTTATCCAATCTGTTGGCTTTCCCTGGAATCGAATCGAAATGCTTCTCATTTGATTTAAGCATAATTCAATTATTTCCGTTTAATTCTCAACAAATACTTGAACGCATTCCATTTGCATATTTGCCTGGCTCAAGGAGGGAAAAAGCAGGAAGACATTAAAAGAAAAGTTGAAAATCAGCCAAATCAAAAAGCCGGAAAGTTCCTTTTGCATTTATTCTAATCTTTTCAAGTCTTGTGAACTTTTTGGGGGGAAAATCGTGGAAACAGCAAGGCAAGACATAGAGAATATCTGCTTTTATTTTGAAATCATTTTGATTGATTAACTTTAAGCTTAGTGCGGGGGTATCTTTCTTTCAGGCTTTTTAAAAATTCCATCAAATTCAAATTCACAAAATCCACAAAACTTTATACGATGCATACCAATCCTTTTTTTTCAAATATTCAAGTTTTATTTACATTTTCAGTGAGAGCACACAAAATTTCTTTTCTATTTATATTTTTTTGTTAACTTTTCTATTTAAATTATCGCAAAAATGTGGCCTGGCGAAAAGAGAATGAAATGGAAGGGGGACTGTAACTGGGGAGATGGACGTGGAAAAAAATTCCTTTGACTTGTTACATTTTTCAACAATTTTGCCCCGTACTTTTTCCAGCTCTTTTATTGCTTTTTTGGTTTGTTTTGGTTTATTTTCAAATCTGTTTGCCAAAGCCAATTTTTGTTTGCACATTTCCAAATTTGCTTACATGCCTTTGTACTTTTTTTTTGAACAGAATGAGGGTCCTTATAAACATATATATATATTTTTTAATGGGGTTCATAGACTCTATGAATGTTGACCTTTTTAATTTGAGTTTGTCTATTTTTTTGGGTTACTCATTTATTTGATTTGTTTTGATTAAATTTCGCCAATCTCTTGGGCTATAAAAAGTATTTTTAGAATTGAAATTAAGTCACTTGCTATAATTGTTTTGATTTATTTAAGAAATCAACTTGTTTAAGCGGATTTATTAACACTATTAGTTTGTTTACATTGATTATAGCAACTTTATTTAGCAAATTTAGTAATAAATAATAATAAAAAGGGACTTACAGAATATTTTAAATAGAATTTGTAATTATTAACAATTTGTTCATTGTAATTTTTTTACTTTTACTGATTTGTATGTATTTTTTAACAATTTTCCATAACTTTCCTATGCTTCAATGATTTAAAAATATATTTAATAAAATTTGTAAACCTTCTATTTATTTTTGAAATCATATTTCCCCCGTCAACTCTTCAAAAACTTGTGAATATTTCATTTTCCCTCCCGTTTTTTGACATTATTTATTTTTTAAATATTTATTATGTTCTAGGTGGGCAGCCGTACTATGTACACTTGATCCATTGTGAATCGTTTGAGCGGCAAAGAGAGCAACAACAATCCACTTTCCTGCCCTGCCTATGATTGTTTGTTTGGCTCTCTTTTTGTTGTTCAATTAAATATATTCCAGTGCAGGCAACCATCCTCCACCCCCGCTTTCGTTTCGTTTGTTGTTATTAAAAAAGTTTTGTGAGTTTTTATTTGAATTTTCATGGGAGACGAGAAAAGCGCGAAAATAAAAACAGTAAAAAGTGTATTCTCATACGAGGGCAGGCAAGAAAACTAGTGCAGATAACAACTGCAATAACTGACCGATTGGGTAAATTTGGCAGTAATTATTGGCAAATCCAAAGCAAGAGAGAAAAAATTAATAACGAAACTTTTGCAATCACCTGGTGAGGTCTAATCATACACCATGAGGTAATCCAATCGCCAAAAAACCAAACAAAAACCTATCTAAAGAACCACAGCAGCAGCAGCAGTAGCGACAGTAGCAGCAAATACAATTTTTGTGTGTGTTTTCATTTAATTGCTTAATTTAATTTGCATGAAATCCAGCAAGCAAACAAAAGCAAAACCTACCAAAGTTCTTTTGTTGAGGCGGCGGCGATGGGGCAGCGTCGTCGGTCGGTAGGTTGGCGGCAAATAGTAGCAAAAATATCAGAAAAAAACACTCGCAAAAAATACGTTTCGCAAGTGCCTGACGCTTTATTGTTGTAAATTTTTAACACTCCACTGGCTACTACTTTTGCATGTCTCAAGAACACTGCCCAACTGAATGGCGATTTATTATTTTATATTTTTCTTTGACTCTGTGCCTTATTGATTTACAATTTCTGTTGGGGCCACACTCCACTCACGTATGTATATATTATTATTATTACTTTTCCTCTTTTATATTTATATATATATGTATATATTCGAACGCACTTGTTTATGACTTGGTATGATTTTTCCAAATTTTTACGACTGACTTCTCGTTGGATTTTCCACGGGGCTTTTAGCACCTGAAGAACCTTAGTTTCCAGCTCAGCTTGGTTTGAACTCCGTTAGACGACTGAGTCGCCCAGCGGCGGGGAATCGCTATTTTATACGTCCGTTCTCCGGCCGAAAGCTCGGCTTTCCGCTTCGGTTTTCTGAAGCTTCTGCGCAAACGCTGCCTCCGCTCTGGCAGTGACTCTGCTCGTGGAAAAAATATAAACACAAAGCAGCTGCTGGCCCCAAACTCAGCTGTTTTCGGTCAAAAGCCGGCAACAACAAGCCTTCACATGTGGCTTTATTACCAGGTTAAGACGGGCGGTTTTAGGGGTAACCATGACGGGGGGGTTGTGTTATGTCCAAAGCTTCGGCAATGCCGAATGCGCAATGACAACAATAACAAAATACCCACAGCCAGCCAGCCAGCCAGCCAGCATGTTGTTCTTGCCCACGAAAAACCAAATAAAGCAAGGTAAAGCGCATAAAACACAAATAGCAGCAGCCAGCAGCCAATAATACGAGTATCTAGTCGCAGCTTTAACAGGTGGCAATGTCATGATTTCGCAGCACTGAGAGAAAAATGGTTTACTTTACTGGAAGGGGGTACTAAACACTATAAAACTATATCTAGGGTGCTTTAAAAAGACCTAGAGTTTTGTAAGAACACTTTAAAATATTAAAATAAAATTGAATGTAACTTTTCAAAAAATATTAAAATTAAATGAAATTTTTAGGGTATCGTACCATAATTTTTGTCACATTTTCTAGAGGTTTTACGCTTTTTAAGGAAGTTTAAAAAGACTATTATTATGTATTATATTAATTTTTTTTTATTTTTGTAGTATCAAATGAATTATAGAGAAAATATTTTAAGTAATCCTTATATTCTGGGAATTTTTATAAAAATAAAAATAGTTATTTTAATATTTTTAAATAATTGTTCAAACAGAAAATGGCTTCCTTTTAAACTCACTAAATAGTTGTTAAAGATTATATATTAAACAACAACTTAATAAACTAAAATTAGTTCAATACATAATCTATTAAATTTCTTCATATTATTTATTAATAAAATAAATGAATTAAATAATAAAAAATTAAATGTTGATTTAAATTTCTTACATTTTTAAAAATACATATTTGAACATTATTTTTACCCACCTTAAAGTTTCAATTTTTAACTAACTTTTAACCCTTCCCATAAGTTATATATTTTTTTCTCTGCAATTATTGGAACCTCGTATTTATTATTATTATTTTATCACTAAAAATTTTGTGCATTTTCATCAGTCATAAAATTAATTTAATTGATTATTTTTGTTCACTTTATTGGCATCATTGTGCGTCGTCGTGTGTTGCAATTGTTTACTTTTTATCGGTTCATCTGCTGATTGCTAATTCGAAAACCAAACCAAAACAAAAAATAAAAAAAAAAAACGTCCGTCACAAAAAACTTCGTCGCAAAAATTGGAAACTGGCCAAACTCGCTTTAATTAGAGAAGCTAAATAATATTATGTAGAAAGTATAAAGAACGACACATTTGGTACTTAGACATGCCAAAAGCTAAATATTAATGCGTAGTGGGTTCCTTGAACTTTCGTTAATATTTATTGATTTCAACCAAATCACGTGGATAACATCAAAGATTTCCAGTTTGATTAGACAAATATTGGGTTATTTAAATTTTATTATTGATTTTTTATATTCATCTTTATTAAAATGGGATTCATATTCTTGAAATTTGGATTTTGTTTACAAGACTTTTTACTAATTGATATATTTCTTGTTAATTTAAATTTGTATTAAAATTAAAGGGGACTATTTTTAATTTAATATAATTTTTTAAATAACAAAATTAATTGTTTTATATTGTTAAGTGTTTAAAAAAAAAATGTTATAGATTTTTCAAATTATTTAATATTTTTTTGTAATTTAATTTGGAGTTTTTTTGGAGCTCAAAGAGTGGTCACTTTGTGAAAGCTGCAATTAACAGTTATCTTTTTTTCGCACTTTTCGTAGAAAGCGAGCATTTTGTAAATCGTTTATGTTCTCTTGTGCTTGTACTTGCTGTAAAATTTACAAAATGGATCGCTACAATCGCGCCTGGAGAGGTAATTTCAAAGAACCCCATATAAACCCATATTTCAAAATGTAATAATTGTAATTTTTCCAGATCCCGGTTCTCCCCTGACGCCATTGACGCCCCTTAGCACCCAGGCATTCACCTTTGAAACCACCGAGGACAGCGTCACGCCCACCGGGCCTCGTGGCACTAAGAGCTGCACTAGAACCGGACTTTTTGGTATCCCAAAAGCCAATCATCATCTCCAGGTGCCAGGATGTCGACCAGCCACGTCCGCAAGAAGCTTAACAGGAAGTCGCCGTCAGCCGACGCGTTTTTCGCAAGCATTTATGCGCACGCGATCCGTGTTCTCGCCCTCAAGTCAGAGCACCCTCATGGAAGGCAGCTCGCTGCCTCGGGAAAAGTCCATTCCGGTTGACCCAAAATCACGGACAATGCAGGAGAGCCGGGTGAAGCCACATATCCGGGTGAAGCAGGAGCCGAGCAAGGTAAAAAAAGAGGCGGAGGAATCGGCCCGCAGTCCCAACCATCAGCGCTTCAAGCAAGGCTCCCCGGTGGAGCACCCCTCGCTGAGCCCTCGCGTGCGATCTTTGCTAAGTCGCACGGGTAACGAGCATCTCACGGAGCTGTTCACCCGCCAGGAGATCGACATCGAGGTGCTCATCCATATGACTCTGGAGGATCTGGCTGCGCTGGGCGTTCGCGGCGCCCGAGAGGTTAAGGTTGCCATGCAAATCATTCAGCTGGCCAAGAAATTCTTTTAATATGTATGTGTCCTGTGAGTTTTTAAGCCTTTTTTAATGTTCTATGTCATGTGTATTTTAATATTTATGTGCGTTTATAATAAATGTTTAATGAGAGATGTCACTTTAGTTTACAAAAAATTATTTTATTCTAATAATATTCACAAATGCATATACATCTCGTTCATAAAATATAAAACCCACTTAAAACTAAATTTTAATAATTTCAAATAAATACTGCAGCCCTAGATTTAACCGCCCTTGTGTGAAAGGAAATTGTTAATCGTTAATCGATGCTTAGAAAGAACAATCGATATATCGCATTTTGTAAACACATTGATGGTATCGATAGTTTTATTAACGATATACCATCTCTAGCAAACTACCAACACGTGTTTGTTCCACAGAACCGCAGTTTTCTTGAAATATTCACATTTTTAAACAAAAAAACAATGGGCAAAGTGAAAGTAGAAGACGCCGACACTTCCGTGCAGACCAGCGGCGATGTGACCATCAAGGAAGAGGAGACCTACGACGACAAGCTGCTTTTCGTGAATGCCATTGCCAAGCCCATGGCAGGTAAAAAACTGGCCAAGAAGTGCTACAAGCTGGTCAAGAAGGCGATGAAGCACAAGACCTTCCTGCGCAATGGACTGAAGGATGTTCAGACTCGCCTGCGCAAGGGAGAAACTGGGTAAGTTTCTTCAAAAATTTCGTCAAAAGTAAATACAAACTAATGATTTCTTTGGCTCACCCTAGCATTTGCATATTTGCTGGTGATGTGACACCCGTGGACATCATGTGCCACCTGCCGGCTGTATGTGAGGAGAAGGGCATTCCCTATGCCTACACGCCCAGTCGAGCTGATCTGGGAGCTGCTATGGGTGTCAAGCGCGGCACAGTTGCCCTGCTGATCCGGCAAAACGAAGACTACAAGGATCTGTACGATGAGGTCAAGGAGGAGATGTCCGGATTGAATGTTCCCATCTAAGGGAAGACCTCCTGTAGTTGTAGATTCGTTTGCTAATTAAGTGTCCTAGTTAAGTTAACAGAAGTTTGCTGAATAAACGCGAACAAAACCTAATTCTTTCACTCTATAAAAATGCTTTTTTAAATGTTATCAAAATAGTATCTAACTTTTGTACAGTTTTTCCAATATATTTTTAATATACATATATTTTGGAGGCACCATCGTTAAGAATACAAGTACCCCCTTTTATTCAAACATCAATAGTATCCTGTAAAAACTACTTGAAACAACAAAATTTTATAATTCCTAATTATTTTTTCAGCGATATTGAAAAAAACGTTATTTTTCAGTTTTATAAAAGGCATTTTCTGAAATTTTTTAATGTCTGACTTTTTACACTTTTTTTAAGTGACTTCAAATTGCTGCTTACAAATAAAACCCTTTTCTTCTAAAAGTTTCGATAGAAAAATAGCACAAAAGCCGTAACCAACAAATTCCTTTAATTCCCAAGAGACTTTTCTGAAGACCTTTTTAAAAATGCTAGAAGATGTTTTCAATATCGCCAGGCATATCAAAATTTTCTTCATAATTCCGATATAATATCAAAAACGAATAGAAGAGGTATACCCAACGAAGTCTTATAATTTCCAAATAATATTTCGGAGTCCCCTTTACAAACAAAGCTCAAAGTTGAAATCTCCAATAAAGACGAATTAGTTCAAACCACGAAGACAATTGATATGAAGCAACACACTGACCAAAAAAAGTTTGCTTTTGATTTTTTTTTCTGTCCCTTGGGGATCTTTTTTTAGTTTTCTCTTTTTTTGTAATTTCTTTTTTTTTATAAGGATTTTCAGCGCCGCTGCTGGGTTTCATATAAATGGGGTTTACATATACAATACAGTTTTTGAAATGGGGAATTTTCCTTAGTTTTTTCTTTGCTCTATGAAGAATGTGGATGTGTGTGTGTGTGTGTCTGTTGTATTTATTATTGTTTTTAGTTAGTTGGTTGTGTGTCTAAATTTACATATAATTTAACACTAAGTGAGAGTCGGTGTCTGGTGTATATATATTTCCTAGATCTTTTTTTTTTAACAAACATGACATATGAGACGTGGATTGGCGTGGAGAGGGCGATGATGGATTATTAAAAGTACAATTTCTTGCGATTTATTAAATGTAAATTTCGTTATTTTTGTTTCGTTTTTTGTTTTTTCTTTCTTTTTTGATGGTTAAATTATTACAGTTATATATAAAGTTAATATGTATATATGCTATATCCAAGTCGCTAGACAAAAATACTACGATAAAACTCAAAGATCGATTAAATATATGTACTCTCTTATTGAAAAAGGATTCTTATTTATTGTTTTTTTTTTAATGTTTTGGGAGTTCTTTTTTTGTATATTTTTTTTTTATAATTTTTAAAGGGGGATGCGAGGATGCAGGGGAGGGGCTTTAACAATCGTAATATAATTTACACACTCACATAGACAATTTATGGGGGGGGCGGGGGATTCGCAGGCAAAAAGGAACAAATATAACTCGTGCACAAAATGTTATTATTTATATGCATATCTATATATATATATGTAGGTGTAAGTATATGTTTAATTCGTACACAAAAAGTTTCATATATCCCTTATAGCCATTAATTAAATATATATATATAATAGGTATATATTATCTGAAGGACAATAATTTATGTTTTTTTGAGTGCATGACAAAATTTCAGTTTTTAATGATTTTTTTTTATATCTTTTTGTTGTTGTTAATAATATATAGTCGTCGTCAACGTTTGCTGTACAAAATTGAAAAGTTTTACAATTTAATAACTTTGAGAATAATTAAAAGTTACAAACAAACTGAAGGCCTAAAAAAAAATTACAGAAAGAAATGTACAATACAAATTTTTTCTCAAAGTATATATATATATATATATCTTACATATCTAAATCTAAATTTATGCATTCTGCAGTTTTATAGTTATTACAATAATTATCTCTCTTTTTTTTTGCGTTTTTTATATTTATTTAATTTTGTTTTTTTTTTTTTAGTTTTTTTTTTGTAATTTTTTGTTGTTCAAGAGTCTCTAATCGATAAGGTTTTGCTTGTGTCTGTGTAGAGGCTGTGGTGCGGCTGCTTAGAGCAACCCCTTGGATGCAGCAGGAGGAGCGAGGATGCGGAACAGGTGGCCAGGGTGGCACAACAACACATCCCAGCGGCTGCGGCATTTGGGCAAATAAGAACGTTTCTTTTTTTTTTTAGTAACCCTACTAAACATTAACTAAATTGGTATTTATGTATATTATTAATTAATTATAATAATTCACACGTTGAACTTAAGGCTACCGTAATTAAATAATTTGCAATTTAAACGAAAGCAAACAATAATAAGGATAATAGGGATATAGGAGGGGGGAAAGGGGGGCACAACTATAATTAAGAAGCAGTTCTTTTTCTTGTTTTTAGCTTTTTCCTCTGTTTTCCCAATGTCTGGGGTATTTTTTTACGTTTTTTACGCTTTTTTTTTTGTTGTTTGTTCAGCTAAGAATTTTACCATTTTTTTTTTCTAGTTAATTTTCTGTTTTTTTTTTAGTTTTTGTATTTTTTTTTAAGGTTTTTTTGTTGTTTTTTTTTTTGTTTGCATTTAGGTTAAGACCCTTTGATGCCACAGCTTGAGATGTTGTCGCTGCCGCCTCTCACTGAAAATAATTGTAAAAACCGGTGGTGGCCTGTCCCAGTTCCCTTATGGCCGCAAACGGATCCTTCTCTAGGAGATCGCCACCTCCGCCGCCACCTGCCTGCGAGGCCTTGCCGCCCCCACCGATGCCGGCACCTGTAACAGATCCCCCCTGACCCTGCGATTGCCCCGGCGAAGGTCCCGCATTGTTGCCTCCACCCACAGCCTGGTGTCCCTGGCTCAGCACAGCCGCATATGTGGTGGCGGCCGAGGAGGAGCCTCCTCCTCCACCCGACGATTGCTGGTGCTGATGATGATGATGATGGTGATTGCCGCCTGCCTCCGAGTGAGATACTACGCTGGGCGGCATGGCCTGAAACAGGTCCATATCATGGCCACCGCCGCCACCCTTCATCGCATTGAAATTGTTGTACAGCAAACCGTGCATGTGATCCGAAGGCTGTGACTTCACCGAATGATCCACTACTACCGAGTTGTTGGCCTGGAAGAGGGCTTCTATCAAATTGGCGCCTGTATCCAGGCCGGGCATGTTGTAGCCACCTCCGATTCCATTCCCAGCCAAAGCTTGACGGCGGTACAAAGGTACCGAGTTGTTGCCATTCATCAGCAGTCCATTGTTGTTGTTGTTGTTGTTGCTGTTATTGAGGTTACCAACTCCTCCTCCTGCACCTCCCATACCCATGTTTGCTGCGCTGTTCAAGCCAACGTTGTTATGCATGTTCAGGTTATTGTACGGCTTGTCATTGAGCAGAGAATTGCCAGCTGAAAAGGATAAAATAAAGTAATTTAAAATAAGTACAGGGAAGGAAGAGAAGAATCGGATCTTTGAAGGTTCTTTCAAGTTTTAAAATATTCCTAAATGTTTTTTCATATAGTTTTTTAGTTTTAGTTTTTTTTTTGGAGTTTCTTGTCGAATTCTTACTTGAGAATTTTAAAGGATTTCAGCTCTGTAGAATATCAAATAAAAGAGCTTTCCTTCCATAGCAAATAGTTTCTTGAATTATTCGTTATTCTCATTCATTATTCTCTTCGTTATTTTCTTTTCCAAGGCTTAAAAATCTGCATAAATATATACATTTCCTACTTTCAACAAGAGCAATAACATTTATTGCAAGTTGGCAATTTTTGTACACAAAACCAAAGGGAGAGGTACTTAATGACCCAACAACTTTATCACATGCACTAATAATTATACGAAAATAATATAAAACACAAAACTTGTATAACGTGTCACCGAGTATTCTTGAGAAAAACAAGGGAAACAAGTGATCCTATTTGATCCTTCATCTTCATATCCGAGTTGCCTTACCATTGCCCATAAAGTTGGTGTTGCCACTGCCATTGGGCGGAGCCTGATGGATACCAGGTCCAGGTCCAGGTCCCATATGATTCGGATAGAGCGGTCCTGGTGGTGGCTTCAGCTGCTGCTGTTGCTGCTGCTGCTGCATCATGGCAAACAGACGACTTTGCTGCTGCTGCTGGAGATCGGCGGCATTCAGGCCATTGGCCAGGGGCGGGGGACCAGGACCTGGGGCATTCCCAGCTCCGGCCACCATGCCCAGCACATCCCGTAGAATGGGCTGGGCAATGTCGTTAGCTCCATTCATGATGGAATTAAAGACCAGATCAATCTGCTGGTTGAAGTTCTCCAGCGGCGGTGAAGCATCTACGGACTGTTGCTGCGGCGGCGGCTGCTGTTGCTGCTGCTGCTGGCCCTGCTGCGGATACATCATGGGATACTGCGGTCGCTGCACGTGGGGATTGTTCAGCATGGGATTGTTTACCATCTGCTGCTGCTGCTGCTGCTGAGGCGGCGGAGGCTTGTGTTGCTGCTGCTGCTGCATGGAGTTCATCACCTGGCGCAACATGTCCGCAAACTTGTTGGCTCCCTCCTGGCCCACCGTTTCCAGCAGTTTAAGGTACCACTTGTACTGCTCCTCCTTGGGGTTGAAGGCCATCTCATAGATGCTGACATTCGGAGGCAGTAGCTCATGGGTCAGGGGACCACCAAACCGCATGGAGCTCGGCGAGGGCTGCTTTCCAGCTCCGTACATGAAGGGATTTGGCGGTGGCTGCTGCTGTGGCGGCTGCTGTTGCTGAGGCAGCGGTGGGGCTCCCGTATTGTAGCCACTTCCATTGTGCCGCAGATAAGGCGGCGGCGGTGGTCCATTCTCCATGGGCGACATAGGTCCATTGGGCACACTGCCGCCCCTCTGCAGCTGCTGCTGCTGCTGCTGAGATGGTGGCGGTGGCTGGCCGGGTCCATAAAGCTGATGGTGTGGCGGGGCCTGGCCATGATTGTACAGCGTCTTCTTGGCCAGGTAGCCCAGTTCGCTGGGATTCCTCAGTAGCTGCTGGGCGGCTGCCGAGGCATTTGGCGGCGGCGGAGGAACACTTCCGCCGCGCAGCGGAAGTGAGGGATTTGCATTGAGCGGTGGGGGTCCTGGACCACGTCCGGGAGCACTCACTGGTGGCGGCTGGGGCTGCTGCTGCTGCTTGTTTGGTGGCAACACGCTCCAAGGATTCGTTTGCGGTGGAGGCCCCCAGAGACTGGCATTGGGATTCTGCGGTGGCTGTTGTCCTGGTCCCGGTCCCGGGCCTTGATTCTGACCCTGTGGCGGTGGCCGCCAGTGCTGCATGGCCGGATATTGTCCATAGGGTGGTGGCGGTGGTCCTCCTCCACCTCCTCCGCCTCCCCCACCACCAGCGCCTCCTCCTGGCTGTTGAACGGGCGGCGGTCCACCGGGACCGGGTGGCATTCCTCGTAAATGTGGCGCTGGCGGCGGTGGTCCACGCATTCCCATGTGTCCTCCGCCGCCTCCGCCACCACCAAAGTGGGGTGGTGGCCCTGGACCACCAGGTCCTCCGGGACCTCCAGCCCCAGGACCACTACCAGACTTTCCGCCCACGGCCGCTGCAGCAGCCATCATGGCCGCCATGTGGGTGGAGTACATGTGGGAGAGCTGTTGATTGGCCGCCATGGCGGCTGCCATTTGGTTCATCTGATGGGCGGCAGCCGCCGGTCCGGGACCCAGCATGCCGGCAGAGGCAAAGTGTGCCGGCGGACCAGGACCCGGTCCATGGCCACCCACACCGCCATGTCCATGCTGGGGTCCATTCAAATAGAGAGCAGCCTGCTCGCGCAGGTAAGCCTCCGGCTGCAGGGCACGCGGCACAAACTCGGGAGCCAGAGGATTCAAGACATATCCCCGCTTCAGCTCCACTCCATCCAGCTGCGAGCGAAGATTTGACCAGGTGAGACCGAACAGCGACTTGTGCTCATCGCAGATCTCAATGAAGCGTTCCCACACCTTCCGGCAGCGTCCAATGGAGCACAGGGCCACGGGATCACCCACCACGGCCACCAGACTCTGGGCACGTGTTATGGCCGTATTCAGAAGCTTGGAGTTGCTCAGGAAACCATAGTCCGTGTCGGCATCCCCAATGCTGGCCGTGGAGGAGGCAGTTGATCCACCACCACCACCCGGAGCGCTGCCCTGCGGCATGCAAGTGCGTCGCGTCCGAACCGTGGAGAGGAAGACCGCTCGGAACTGTTTGCCCTGGACATTGAGCACTCGTTCCACGGATATTCCACCCATGCGACGTTTCCTCAGCTCCGAGCGAATGCGGAATACCTGATCCGCATAGGGCGTCATGATGCCAATGCTGGTATCGTTCAGCTTGCCCCAGGCACTGGGCCAGCGTTTCCTCAGCTCCGAGACACGTTCCACCACCTCATAGACCTCGGCGTTGTTGTAAAAAGCCGTGGAGTTCTTGTCCTGAACATCCTCGCCGCGGGTGGTGAAGAAGGTCAAAGGGTAAAACCGCTCATGCCGCGGCTGCTTGCCCGAGGCCACCAGTTTTTGTTCGTAAAATAACTCGGAAGTGAAGCGTATGATGGCCTCGTGGGCGCGGTAGTTCTCGCAGAGCAGGATTTTGCAGGGGAAATTCGAGGGATAGTGATCGTACAGCCTCTCCAGCAGGGAAATATGCAGCTTGCGTTCCTTGGCAAAGGCGGAGAACAGCTCCGGGCTCATCTGCATGTGATCTCCGGCCAGCACAATCCTCGTGGAATCATTGGCCAAAGCCAAAGGCATTATGGCCTCGCACTCCATGGCCTGAGCAGCTTCGTCCAGGAAGATGTGTGTAAAGAGTCCTTTCGGGAGACCCAAAGTGGCCAGCTCCATGCTGATACTCAAAGTGACCACCACGATCCTATGCCTCATTATATCCTCCACGCTGGGTCGCTTGAAGTTGCCGGCACCATCGGTGATGCAGTATTTTTGGACCACCCCATTCACCGTGGCGGACCATCGCTTGTGGTAGTACACCCTCAGCGGTGTGGCCTCCTCCAGACCCTCCTCGATCCAAGGATGCAGGTACTCTTTAATGTACAAATCCGCCGCCGAATTCGAGTGCGTGCAGATGAGTATCTTGGCCTCCGGCTGGGCCAACAACTGCTTGATAGCCTGGGCCAGAGTATAGGTTTTGCCTGTGCCAAAGGGTCCTATCAGCAGGATGGGAGGTAACTTGATGCTCAGTGCCGTGGTAATGGCATTCACTGCCTCCCTCTGCTTGGCATTCAACTTGGGCTCACAGGCATCCGCCCACTGCTTCTTCGGGGTCCAGGGTATGCTCGGCTCCAGCTCGGTGGCGGGAAAGATCAGTCGGAAATCGGTGATCTTGTCCACGGCATTGTGCCACTCGCAGTAGGGCATTCGATTCAGCTGGAATTGTATGTCCACATCCAGTTCCGTGTCCGCTTGAAGGTTCATGGCCTCCACGCACTTGGCCGACAGCTTCAAATAAATCACATTCTTGCCTTTGTCCTCGATGAGAGCCTCGTAGACGGGACGCAGCTGATCGGGATTAGGTTTGGAGTCCGGTTCCTCTGGCTTGGAGATGTAAACACTGCTGCAATTGGACAGGATCAGGCGGCCGGGTGATGTATCCTCCGAGATATCCTTGCCCAGGCGCATCAAAGCAAACAGCTCGCCAGCCAGGGAATATTTCGCTGTGCTGGTGGCCATCCCAGCTGGAGTTAGGATATAGTTGGAGGCCACCGTGAGACGGGTTCGGACATTATATCTGGCTATCTGCTCGTAGCGGGCTATCTCCTCCACGGACAACAGCTCGTGGATGCGGGAACGATAGTTGTTCTGCGTCAAACGCTTCTCCACAATCGTGGACTGGGTCAGCGTAAAGGTGGCCGCCCGGGGGCAGGGATAACGTTCCAACAACTCCCTTTCATGCTCCAGATCGCTGAGATAGGCCTCTGTTTTCAAGTGCGTGCCTATGGTGGTCTCAAAGCGCGTGAGCTGGGTATTTGCCACATCCCAGCGCGTGGCCGAGCTGTTGATTATGTCCCGCTTGATCTCCTCAATCTTTTCCGCATCATTCACAGGCAGCACATCCACGCAGAGGTGACGCACCAGCAGCGGCTCCTGGCCCACATCGAAGCAGATGGCCTGGCGAAAGGTTCCATAGATTTCCGTCTGGAATTCCACAGTTATTTCGTGGCTCAGCGTGGGAGAAGACTCCTCGCCTCCAGCTTCTGAGGAACTGCTACTGCTGCTGCTGCCTGCCACCCACTCCTGATCGGACTTCAGCTCCATTACCGTCTCCATGGGCTTCATCATCCTGATGGACTTCAAGGCAAAGTGATTCCGATGGGCATCTTGGAGCAAAGCCACTGCTTTCAGGGGTTTCTTAGTTTCCAACTGGAAAAGCCACTCCCTCTTGGAGGTCTTCGAACTTATGCTGGTGACCAGCTGCTGCTCGCATCGCGCCTCCATATCCGGCACCCGCTCGCACATCACTCGTTCCGGTGCCGTGGCCTGGATCCAACGTTCCAGGACCTGTTCCGTGTACGACTTGCCATACAGCTCCTTTTCGCAGGCCTTTTGCACCCGCATCCTACGATACTCGAAGCGCTCCTTCCACTCGTTGAGCTCGTCCTGGCCATGAGCCTCCACACACTGGGCGCCGTAATGGCAGGTGTGCGCCTCGCTGAATGTCTCGCACAGGGAATAGGTGTCCAGGGTGTAGCCTCGGGGCGGCGGTCGCCACTTCCAGTCGCGTCCTAAACGAAAGATTGATGGAATATTTTTACTTTTTCGGAGTGATGGAGTATTCATGTTATATATATATATTTTTTTTTTCGTTTTTTTAAAGAAGTCTAGGGTGTGGAAGCATTATTAAAATGTATAGATTTCATAAACAAGATCGTCAAGTTGAAGTTTGTGTTTCAGTTTCTATCTGAGGTGCCTCAGAAATCGTTTTAGCTTTTAAAATGTATCTTAAAAATATGAAATTAAATATGTGAGCTTTAAAATATAATGTAAACTGTTTATCCCTGTTTACTTAATATGTGTAAATGTTTACTAAACATTGTTATACTCACCCTCATCACTCATGATCACCTTCTGATGAGCCTCGGTCTGGCAGTGCTGGCGCAGCTCGTTTCTCGTCTGGAAGGTGATGGCGCAGTAACTACAGGTGGTTGATGGCGCCGCCTGGTCGCCTCCATCCGAGCTGGAGCCATCGCCGGAGCCTGTTTGATGCTTGCCGGCTGTTAGTTTCATGGCTGCCAGCAGATCGTTGGTCTTGTGGAGGCTGGTGCTGGAGCTGGACATGGTGCTGCTGCTGCCAGTGCTGGAATTACTGCTGCTGCTGGCATAACTGCCGGTTCCATTGCCATTCTGCTGCTGTTGCTGCTGTTGTTGCTGCTGCTGCTGTTGCTGCTGCTGCTGTTCCCGCTTCTTCAGACCCTTATTGCTAAGCAATTTGCTGTACTTGTCCAAAGGCAGATTGTTGGTGGCCCAATGATCCAGTTTGGTGTCCAAAATGGCCATCTCGTCCTCGAGACGGGCATGCGGAATCTTTTGGGCCTGTGCCTTGTGCTGGCCATTCATGATCATCTGTATGATGGACTTGTAGCGTTCGAGGGTCTTGGATATGTCCGAGTATATCTGCTGGCCGCTCAGCTCATTGATCCACTTGCTCAGAAAGATCTCAGCATCCTAGGATGAGAAAACAGGAATTTATAGACATTTTTCAGGGGAAAATCAAATGTATTTACTCACCCCATACTTGTGCATCTTGAAGAGGGCGTGGACAAGCCATCGTCGCGCCCTGGAAACGCTGGCCAGGCACTCGGTTTGCTCGGAGAGCAATGTGAGCACCTTGTAAGCATCCGCCAGGCAACCCTCGAATTTGCCCAGCTCCAGGAGGCACTCGCAACGGCCCAGCAGGCAGGCAATCTGTTGATCCTTCTGTGCCCGCGTTGTTCCACCACTGGAAGCGGGCGTGGTTATCAGCTGGTCGTAGAGGGCCACCGCACGGGCCCAGCTCCGACGGCGGACCATGTCGTGGGCCTGCATCTCCTTCTCGGCGGCCATTGTGTGTGTGTGTTAATGGCTTCTTCTTCTTCTTGTTTGTTGTTGGTTACTCATGGATCCTTTGGATCCTTCTTGTCTTGATCGCTCGTCTAATTTCTAGGTTGATTCTATTTGGGGGAGAGTTTTTAATAAGAATATTAATTTGATTTAAATAATTGCACTTTAGTGTGTACTTACATAAGTTAACAAGTTTTCGGTTGGTTAAATATTAAAGAAATCTGTTTGCGTTTTTTTTACAATTCATTATTTATATACTTTTGCGGGCATTATGTTTACTGAAATTAAATATAAATATAGAATATCAATTTAAAATAGTTTTTTTATGCTGTGAATTTACTTTGTTTAATTTATTTACTTTCTTATATTATTATTTAATATAAATTATTAAAAATTATTTATACCGTAGAATTACTTTGTTTAATTTATTCCCTTTTTTTAAGTTATTATGTACCTTTTTTATGTATTATTTTTTGTTATACATTATTATTTATATTTTTATATCTTAAATATTGTTTATATTTTATGTATATTATTTGTTGATTTGAAATATTTATGTATTTTGAATTTGTTTGTTTTGTAAATTATAATTTATTATATTATTGTTATTATTTTTCTATTATTTTATGAGGTATTTAAAAATGTCTTTTAAATATGGAAAGATTTCTGTGATTTTTCTTCTAAAGAAAATTCCAAAAATTTCTGGGGAATTCCCCTGTGACTCTTGGAAAAAAATTCTATCCCCTCCTTAGAAATCTTGAAAGTGCAATCTTAGATTATTATTTCCTCATTGCTGAACAATAATTAAATCAAGATTTGTAATCTATCACTTTGGTGATAAGTAGCTGTTCCCTAGGTTTCCCTAGAGTTTCCCTAGAGTCTTTCCCATCTTCCTGACTTCTTTCAAAGATCTAGATCATCCCAGATCGTCACCAAATCGATCAATGTTAAAGGATTATAATTCCCTGGTTTTACCCAAAATTGTTTTGGGGCCAAAAACAGAAGTTGTTTATATATGTTTGTACATACATATCTCTCGGTGGGTCGATTGGTCGGCTTATCGGATCACAAACAATTGTGTATATATTCGGATTTTTATGGAGGGTGCCCGGCCGGGTGCGCAGGTATCTCGTAAACAATCCAAAGTGCTACTTGCCGTGTGTTCATTTTCGCGTTTTACACAATTTTCATTCTTCTAAATCGGTTACGCAAAATTTTCATAAGTCATTTTCACTCTCGCACCGGCCACCCCCCCAGCCGCCGGGCAGGGGAAAAACAGAGGAAAAACAGTGGGGTGGGGGGGAAAACCAACTGGCTGCCGAGAACATACGCACTCGAACGAAAGCGAGAAAATTTGCAAGCATAATTAAAAGAAATTTCAATTTGCTTCTTTTTCGTTTCTTCTTTTTCCTTTTGGAGGTGCTTGCTCTCGGTTTTTTCTGCTACTTTTTTTTGTTGCTCTGTTTGTGTGTGTGTGTGAGTGTGTGCGATTTGTTGTTGTGCGGTTTTTATTTATACGCGGCGAATAGGGAATTATTTACAATTAAATGGCGATCCGTGTGGGTTGTAGGCAAAATGCAAACACAGAATATTCTTCGGCTATTATTTAATGTTGTTTTTTTTCTCGCCTCTTTTACACTTTTTTTTTTGTATACATGGACAATTTTCTTTCTTAGGCGTTGCGTTCTTAGCCGCTTGCAGCCGAAATACGTGCACTTTTCTTAATCAACTCATGGTTATTCCAAAGTTTAAGCTTAGGGGCAGCGATTAAGCGTATTTAATTGAGTTTTTGCACAATGCACGCGAAATGCGAAGGATTTATTTTACCATTTTTCTGCTTTTACGTGCTGAAACAGCAGACGGTCGACGGTGTTGGGCAACGCCCGAAGCGCTCGCTGCCGAGTATCGCATGTGGCAATAGTTATTTGCTTTTAACGCGGTTTGTCAAAATATAAGGTTAACTAGTTTGGAATAATTTAATACAGAGCAAATTTTTGGTTATTTTCCTCAATTAGAACCAGTTATATGCACAAAACAAAACACGATTATCGGCTGGCCGCGTTTTCCAACACTGAGCGCCCATTTGACAAAACAACACTGATGATGATTTTGCCATATGAAACGGCAAATATATATACACACATATATATAAATTGTACATATATATATTTTTTTGCAAAAGCAATGCACTTTTATCTGATTAGTCGGTTATTTTTACAGCTCGTTAATCATTTCACATAGACTTCAGCAGCGGCGGCTGCACATTTTCAAGGCAATAATCGCATGTCGGCCATCGCCAGCTGTCACTTGGCGAATTTGGGTTGCCCAATTCGATTTTTCACTGGCCCTTACGCTCTGGTATTACCTTTGCACTTATTCTTATTGTTTATACACTACGGCTAATTATATTTTACATGGTTAAGCCACAAAACTATGAGAGAAAAAATGCACATCTGTGGATGTGGATGAGTTTTGAGTAACGCCGAAAATTAGCCGAGAAGAAGGGTTAAAAATTGTTACGTATATAAGTTACGCAACACTGGTCGCTGGGACCGAAAAGTCTGGCAGCACTGTTTTTTTTACATATATTTTACGCATGCAAGTACATGGGAAAAGGGTGCGAAACCATACTATGTAAAGTTGTTTATTCGAAACATTACTTCAATTGATTTACGTTGAATTCAGGCCCGGCCACTTTTCAATGTTCCCTTTTGTGGGGCGGCACATAGACTTGCTGCTGCTGCTGCCCTTGGCGATCCCCGCCGCGGTAACGTGAATGCTGCTGCTGCTGCTGGAGTTGTTGCTGCTGCTGCTGTTGACGCTGTGGAGCATTGCTCAGCGGCCTGTTCTGGGCATCTGTAATGGGCAGTATGTCCACCTGGAGCACTTCCTCATGGTTGCCATAGCCCAAAAAGAAGACCACGCAAGTCTTTTCCGAAACACCCGTGATCTCAGCCTCGTAATACTAAAAGAATTAGAGGATCATTATTAGACTTCTTATTTTTGGTTGTAGAAATTACTTACTCTTCCGTCGTCCCAATACTTGGCCATGCACAAGTCTCCCTTCTGCCACATCCAAGCATCGCCAGGCGTCATACCGTACTGCTCCCTTGGCGCCGCCTGCTGCTGAGGATGGGGAACTGCAACTGAAGCTGAAGCTGAGGCAAAGGGCAGCGTTGATGGCGATTCCTGATTGGCCAGGCCCACGCCCTGACTCTTGAGTAGGCTCATGGCAAACTCGTTGGCCTCCTTGCTTTGGAAACCCATAATCTTGCTGGGATCGTATGTATATCCATTCGCCAATTGACTGTAGTTGTGATGCGAGTTGTTCCGGGGATTGTGATGCTGTTGATGCTGCTGCTGTTGATTCTGTTGAGTTTTCTGAGTGGCCTGAGCCTTTTCTGGCTTTTGAGAAGGCAACTGTGCTGACTGCTGCTGCTGGATTTCCACTCCTGTTCCCGTTCCCGTTCCTGATCCCGACTGGCGATTGGCTTGTCCCTGGTTGCCTGCCTGACGGCGGCGATTCTCTCGCTTGGGCGCACTGCTCACCTTGAGATTGGCCGTCTCTTCGGTTACCTTGCTCAAACGTGCATTGAAATCCTCACCAGAATTGGTCGAGGGCTTGCTGGATGCACCAGCTGCATTGAATACATTCGAGCCTGCTTGCGGCTTACGCTTGTTTCCATTAGCATTTCCATTCTCTCCGCGACTTGATCCTCCGCGATTGTTACCTCGATCGCTGCCACGACGATTGCCGGGATAATCTTTTCCATTGGTTGCTTCTTGGTCGACTTTCACCTCGGAATGGCTCTTGGCTGAGGCGTTATCCGGGCCATTGCGCGTAGATCCTTTGGCCTCCGGTTTATTTCTTCCACCTCCTCGCTCATTGTAGGATCCTGCTCCCCTCTCGCGGGGCGGTCTATCTTCCCTGGGAGGCCTCTCCTCACGCGGAGGTCTTTCCTCTCTCGGTGGCCTCTCCTCTCTCGGTGGTCTGTCATCTCTTCCTCCGCCTCGATTGCGGCCGCCACCCCTAGAGGAACCAGCATGACCACCGCGATGGGCAGCAAAGCTGCTCGAAACATTATTCTCAAATCTCGAGCGATCCGAAAACTTTCCGCCGCCGCCTCCGCCACCGCCATGAGCTGAAGATCTGCTATCGGCTTCGCCGAACCTTGAGTTTCCGTATTGCTTGAAAGGATTATAGTGATTGGCAGTAGGTGGGGCAGTTGGAGCTGGAGCAAAGGTCTCAGCAACGCTGGCGGCCGGAGTCTCTGTGGCGGGCAGTTTTGTAGTAAGAAAATCAAACAGCGTGGCATTAGCTGCTGGCTTTGCCGCTTCAGCCTCTTCCTTGGCGGTGGCACCACGCTTGCCCTCTCGGCCAGGTCGTTCTCCGCGTCCCGGGCGGCCCATTGGTTCAATGGGACCCACGCCACCAGCTTCCTTGCGTCGCTTCAAGTTGAACAGAGCACGCTCAAGGTTGTTCCTGGTGGCATGCAAGGCACTGCGTGCCTCCTCCTCGCTGAAACCCTTGTCCAGGATCTTCTTTATGTTGTGATCGACGATGTTTTGGCCACCGCCGCCAAAGACCTTCTTGCCGCCCGCCTTCGTTGCCACGGCAATTGCCTCGTTGCGCATGGCATTAAACTCCTCGTTCTCCTTTGCCGGCTTGTCCTTGTCGCCGGATGATCCCAGACTCTTAAAGTTCCGCTCGCGCTCCGCGGTGGTGTCGATTTTTCGTCCGAATGCCACCCATGGCGGTGGCATTGTGTTCCCACTCAGAGGGCGGCCACTGCGAGCATACTTGAGCATAGTCCTGGCCAGATCCCACTTCTCGTAGAGGGCATCCACCCGGCCGCCGAGTAGCTGCAGCTCAGTGGCACGGAGCATCAGGAATCCCTGCATCAGCTGCAGTTTCTCGGCCTTAAAGTAGATCTTACTGCCGGGCGCCACATTGAGATTCAGCTGCGGCACCGGCTCCAGCTCCAAGGCCTGGATCGAGTTCTGGCCGTCGCTCAGCTCCAGCTGCAGAAGACGCGGCGCCGCCTTCGATTCCTCGTTCGCCTTGGGAGCGGCTATGTTTCGCACCCTCTGCACCTGCAGCACAATCTTCCCGGGCAGAGTGGCATCTTCACGCTTTGCGGGCAATGCTCCACCGCCTATATCACGGATGTCTCTCTAGAAGTAAGAACGCACAATTAGATGGGTGATGACGCCGGTACGCCTCCTCATTCTCATACATACATTCAATAGCTCGGCGATGATTTTCTTGGGGTCCTCGCTGCCAGTGGCGGATGTCAGGGTTTTGAGGCCGTCCTCTGTCAGGTGCCTGTTATAAAGGTTACTCCACCACCCTCGCTATTGTTTTACGCTCAACTTACCAGCCGCTCTCCTGTAGTTTCATGGCTAATTCCATTTTTTCATATAAACTTACTTTTTTGCAAACCGAATACTGCTAGCGATGGGAAATGATTAGATGTGTACTCGCTGGTGGTGGCCAGGCGGCGCTGGGAAATATCGGTATCTCAATTCCAGTGTTGGTCTACAAAAAGCACGAAATACCGATATCCACCATCGATAAATTGATATTTTGATTCGCTCAGCGCTAGCCAGAGAGCCGCTCTCAATTTGATAGCCAGAATTTCTCTCTCACCATTTTACTTACATTTTACATTCTACATGAGAATTCGACCAAAAACGAGAATTCGACCCCAAAAAAATGTTAACTAACAAATTTGACACTGTTATTCTGTAAGCCTGTAAAACTTTGTTTTGACATTTTAACATTTTGCTTTGAAATTCAGAGTGACCAAGGAACAAAAGTTTAAAAATATCAAACAAAATATCGCGATTTCGATGGATATATTGATATATTGATAACAACACCTATAAAAGGCCGCCGCGAGCGCATACGAATAACGGTTCGCGAGCAAAGCAAAAGCAAAGCAACGACGTAAAAACGTAAAATCGTACAGAGTGCGCGAAGAGAATTTCCAAAATTAACGAAAAGTGTTAGAACACCGAATTTCCCACTTTAACACATATTACACATCGGAAAAGTTGCCATTGATTGCCGGAAACAAATCTGCGGAAAGTGCGAGAGGCCGCCAGAAAAAAATAAGTGACGCGAGCAAACATCGTCATCGACCAATTTATAGAACCTACATAGAATCCAAAGCATGAATCTATCATTCGCTGGCTGCGGATTTCTGGGCATTTACCACGTCGGAGTGGCCGTCTGCTTCAAGAAATATGCCCCGCATCTGCTGCTGGAGAAGATTGGAGGCGCATCGGCCGGTTCCTTGGCCGCCTGCTGTCTCCTCTGCGATTTGCCATTGGGTGAGTCTTTTACCCGTGAAAACAGTGGCTGTGCAAGGAGGGTTTTGGGGTTCTGAACTCCCCCCTGTAAAATAGTACCCATTTCTATTAACTGTTCGGGTTTAATCAGATTTAAAATAATCTTTTTTGTTAAATAATACAATTTTCGTATTATTTGATGGCCTTTCCTAAGGTTTTATATTTTATTAAAAAAAAGAACCCCTCGAAAAATTTTGTTGCATCTTCCTCTGGTATTTTCGCCACTTCTCTCCCCCTTTCTCGAAACACATACATACATACGGACGAAACAGCTGACTGCAAAAACAACCACTGGGCAGTTCAGTGACTTTGTTAGTGGGCGGGAGAGAGACGGAGCGACGGAGGCAGAGCGAGATGCTGCGAGGCTCAATATAAAACGCATTGAATTGATAAGCTTGTTTTGCGTTTGTAGGTCGCAAGGAAGTCAATGGGGGTCTCTTTCTTAATAATTCTGTGCTTGTGTTCGTGACAGAGTGTGTGTGTGAGCGGTGGGTTTGTCAAATTATCGTGGGGGCTCGTCCGTTTGGGGGAAAACTACGCCGCAGTTGAAAAACCTAACGAAAACAGAAAAACAAGTTTCATAGGCCGGGGACCGGGCCGCGGGACAACCCGAAAATATACAGGCTATCCAAACACACGCTTACACAAAATACAGCAGCGGGCGCGAAAATATGTAGCTTCATCTTAAGAAAACTAATTACAGCAGAAATATGTATAATCAATAATTATAAATTAAATGTTATAATCTTATCTGAATTAAAAAAGAGTTTAATAATCGTATTTAATCGAATAGATATAGTATGTTCATGGGATTTATAAAGGTTATATAACATATTTGATAATACATTTTTCGTCATGGTGACTTAATAATATTATTAATCTTCCTGAAAACCAAATTATACGAAAAGATACTAGTACTTTAGCCCCAACTGTACCTATACAAGCATATATTTTGATCAAGAAGCTGAAGGTCGAGTGCCTATTTATGTATTTGTTTTGCTTAGGAGGCGCGTTCATCGAAAGTTGCCGAGGAATGCGAGGCAAAAGCTGTGCTATTGTGGAATCGGGGCTATATATAAAAACTATAAAATATATATAGGCCTGTGTAACACGAGTTCTTGTTTTCGTTTCGATCTTTCTGTGTAACGCTTCGTTTGTATCGTGGGTATAAACATGTCAATCAAACTCTGGGGGGAACACAAAACTAGCGAGAGAGAAAAACAAATGTCAGCTGGATTACTCATGGCTACTTTGCAGCAGTATGCAGATCGGCAGGGCTTATCATTTGACCAGGGCAATCGAGAGCTATAATCTGGAATAACGTCAGCAGCAGCTGTAGCAGCAGAAACAGCGTTCGATCGTTAAAATAATCAAGCGATTTTGTTGTTCCTGTGCCAATGGGATGATCATCACCCCCGGGGCTTAACATGCTCAATTTCCACTGACTCTGCTTTCATTGAAGTTGCCACACGGGAAAAAATACCTTTTCAATTTGGTTGCTTTTTCTGGAAACCTTAAAATAATCGGATTAAAAAGAGTATTTGTTCTATAAACAAAGGGAAAGCAGTCACAAATCTTTCTTACTCATGAAAAGAAATAGTCGAAACTTGGCATGACATCATCAATTAATGTAAAGACTGCGTTGAATTTAATTAATCTTGCTTAAACTGAGCTACAAACTTTGCGTACTTAATTTTGATCTTATGAGATTCCAAGAGATCGTTACTTACTCTATGAACCTTTTATATTCGTCCGCTCTGGATAATTCCTTTTTGCATTCCCAACCTCTTCGCCTTTGTGGCAAACTCTCTTACCTACCTGATCTGCAACACTCATCCATTTACTAGAAAGTTCGTTAGCCCGGCCAGGTGTTTTACCTGCGCAACCAGACTTTTCGCTGCAACGCCTATGTAATTTCAGTTTCCACTTTAATTGCCGCAATTAAATTTGGTCGGTTGCATTCTGATCTAGGCCTGTTTAATGATTACTCAGCCCCGGAGCGTGTCTAATGTGGACTTTAAAAGTCGTTATACCTTGCATGGGGTTTCGGGTTCTAAGTACACAACAGGTACAGTAGCGTTACACCAACAAAAGACGTTTTGTTTCGCCGGCAGATTAGATTTGTGAAAGTTGTTACTTGTTTTTCGTGTTAAAAACGGGTATCCTAAATAAGAGAAATGGTCAATACATCATTACCCTAAGCAACAAGGGGCTTAAATTAATATATTTTCATTTCAAACGTTACTCTCTATAAACCCCTTGCTATTTAAAACGCTTTTAATATCTTTTATGATTGCATTTTCCATTTATAAGTCGTGTCCATTATAAACCCACTATTGTCATAAATTTCTATTGTCCAAACTTCAATCAAAAGGGGTTATTTAGATATAGTGTTGGAAAAAAACCTCTTGGAGCTAGCTCTTTTATAGACCTATTCATTCATGACGATCTTTTATGGACCCCATTTATCAGCTGATATTTTGCACTTCCTCTTTGTTGTTGGTACTCGAACCACTTGAACACGAGCAGAAATGGCACTTTAGTCGTTGATTAGTGGGGATCGCCACGCGAACTTGTCATCGTATCGTATGACGGCACTTCAAACTATACATCCTCTACAGCTTTCTCCGAAAGGCCTTCATAATCCCCTCTTAGATGATTGGGTTTTTTATTTACGATCACGTTGAAAAACCTCATCCTGGGCATAGTTACAAAGCTATAACGTTATAAACAAGCTGCCTTATCAGTTGATGAAAATTGCCCTGTTGTGATGGATTCTCCCTGCTATAGTGGTAAGGATCAAAGGCCGCTAAATTAAATAAGCTAAATTTCTACAAACATTTCTAAATGCAAATCCGTAAATACAAATGTGTTTATTTTTAGAGGAAAAGCCAATGCCCGACCTTCAGTAAAGTTCCCTCCGCCGACGGCTATCTGGAAATTTTTAGAAATCTCAACTGCAATTCATTGTTCGCATGGCGAGCACTTCTTATAATATGTATATATTCATTGCTTATCGGTTTGATTTACCTTTATTGGGCTTGGACACATCGTTATCACGGGGGAGTCATGTTTTTTGTGGCCGATTTCCGTCGCTTAAAGTCCAAGTTGAGGGTGGTATCAGATATTCGCTTACGTAGTATATATATTTCTGAATGGCGGTGGTTCGATTTCGTTGCAGCAGGCAATACGTACAAAATGAGTCAAGTGCAGTTTAGCATTCTGAGTCGCACATCTTGGAGCTCTTTGTTTGATTTCAAATCGATTGCTATCTATCCATCTACATGGCCTGGCCGTAGTTGTGCATTCGATTGACGTATTTTGCATTGGGCTTAGTTTCCTAGTTTCAGTTGATTAGAGTACAAAGCAAATACTATATCTGCATATATTTACATGTGACTTGCAGCTGGGCTTTTACACCCTGTATATGTATTGGACACATTATCAGCTCTGCGGGGTCCTCTATACTCGTATATGTGGCGTATCTTTCAATGATCCTCCTCCGCTCAATCAATCGCCAATGCAAATGGGGCCGTTCATCATCATTGAAGCATCATTATTGTTGATTGACACAGTTTCTGCGGCACACAAAACTAATCCACGATGACACTTGGTGGGCCACAAGCCGAGTTTCGAATGGAATCAGTTTGAACATGTGTTAGGAAGGCTTGATTCGAGGTTAAAGTTAAAAGGAACCTTGTTTGTCTGTTTATTCCATAGAAAGCTCTATGACATAGTAATTTAGCTTTGACTTAATTCAAAAGTTTTGTAGTATCTCAAATTGTTAGGTCTATCTTTCCTGGAGAAGAGCTATAGGGTTTTTTGATCATTATTAAATTATTTATGTATCAGCAATCTAGAAACTTCTCTAGTATCTGAAAATTACAGTTCAGAATTCGTGCCTAAAGGTAGCTATAAGAAATTTTCCGTAGCCAATGGATCGAACCGAAAGAAAGCAGCTGAAGGGCAGCTGCATAAGGCCCAATTCCAGCCAACCTTTCTCCTTTCTCCCTAACGTCCTCCCAAAACTCACCCTGAATAAAACAAAAAGAACGATAAAAACATAAACAGAAATGAAAGCAACATTTACGAACGATTCCCCATATTCCCATGCGCCGGGAACTCACGGCATTGCAATGTGACCTATATAAAGCGTACACAGAAAAGTTTTACAGTTTGGGCCAATAGTATCATGACCACCTGGTGAAATATATAAATGATATCTATAGTAATTACTTGAATGGATTATATTCCAATTATTGGATTAAGAGTAGATTTGAAATTAGAACCATCTAAAAAAAATTAGATAATAATTTCCAATTATTATAATATTAAAATGTCATAAAATAAATAAGCTAATAACTCTTCCCTGTTTGTATTTATATAGAAATGTTCCAAGAAGTAATACCCCAAACCCTTAAAATATATTTAATTTTCCCCAATTAGTTTTCTCCGAAAGTAAAGGGCTTCTTATATTGACAGATGCTATATCGGGAATTTTGAAACAAAGAAGTCTTACAAGTCACCGAATAAACAAACCAACTGTGTAAACATAATTACTATGCCCACTGTAAACATATGCGCGTATGTATGTACATATTTATGTATGAAATGCTTCGTAAACTATGCGCAAGCGGAAGAAGCAGAAAATTCATGAATTCTTGTTTTTGTGCTCGGTCGAATACAACCACAATATCACGTGATGAGGCCTTTTTGTGGGCGAGCGAGACAGGGCCAGAGCAGAGCAGGAAGGGCACAAAAAGGGCGGAATGAGAGAGCGGTACATGAGATTTTGGGGGTCAGACCACGGAAATGGGGGTGTGTGCGTGTGTCGCTCTCTCTGTCTCTCTTTCTGCCTCTGCCTCGCGTTGAAAGTTTGTTGCCTTTCCTTTTGCCGCTAAAAGCAACAACTGCATGTGTATGCCACTTCCCCTCCTCCTTTTTGTGCGCCTTGGGAACTTGTTTATTTATCCATTCAAGTCGAGCCCCCAAAAGATATTGTATTTTTGGTGCAGCTCTCGTTTGTCTATATATAGATTGTGTGTTGTTTTCCTCTTTCTGTTGTTTACAAGTTCGTTTCGTTATGGTTTCGGTTTGCCGTTATCCGCCCAGCCTCCAAGTTGGGGTGTTAGATGCACTTGACTTGCGGTTACGTTTGACGTAACGTAAAACGGCAGACAAGTGAACATCGTTAGGTACAGTGGGGACCAAGAATTTAAAGCGGTTTTGGTATAAATTATTTAAACAAATAAAAAAAAATGTAATAATTGATATGTTTGTATGGTTTCTCGAATATATGTAAATTTCGACTTTGACTCTATTTATACGTTTCATTGAAGTTTAATAGGGGCCTAATCAATTGACTTAACCCCACTAATAATGCCATGCCCACTTTTTTAAAATGATAAAATGACTCTTGTTTTGCACATGCACTTTTGTTATTTACCCAAGAAAAGCTTGCAAAACAAGCCATATTAAGAAGGCAGCACGTAATGCGATAGCGTTGTTTATTTGCATTTTCCTCCCTAGTTCATTATTGTTATTGTTGACAAATGAAAGCACTCGAATAGCAAAAACAAAATTTGATATGAGATGGGGGCAATTGGAACCCCCACGAGTTCCGCCACGGGTTCTTAAGCATGGTTCCAAACTCCACCCGTAATAAAAAAAAAAAAAAAAAGTAGTGTTCAATGTCATATCGGCTTTAAATAGTTTGGCCCGATAAGCGGCCACCCGGGGGAGCGTTATGTCACTTGTTTTCTAACTATCGTTTTCCCCCATTGACTTGAGACAGGTCCTAACCTTAGCTTTCGCTAGCTATTCCGCGTTTTGCAGTCTTGTCTGATGGCCTGATTTCGTTTTACGTCAATTTCTGGAATAAAAAGAAAAAAAAAAGACATACGATTCGGATTCCGTGAATATATTCATCTAACCTTATCACTATCAATGCTTTAGGCCTTTCCGCTCCCATCTAATCGAAATATTTGGAAAGTGCTAGCGTGTGGCACTGCCGGGAGGTTGATTTCTTATCAACATATGGTATGAAGCACACGAGAAACTACTTTTTTTTTATGAGTTTATACTATATACTCATATAGTATGGGAGCATAGGTTTGTAGATAGGTTTTTATACCCACAGGAAAGCATACAATAAAATATTATGTAGTATGTTGAAGGAATTTAACCAAGGGTCAAAGTATTAACCGGAGGTTATACAATTTTATTTATTTGTGAATGGAAATATTTAAATTTCTATTACGAAAAGCATTATATTAGTTAAATACAGGAGGAAGTTCTACAAATACCACCTTTTTAATCATTTTTTTGTATTAAATTAAATGTAACTAATGGTTAAATTACTAACATGAGGTTCTATGGAAATTAATGTCCTATAAATTTCATTCATTTTCACATCGTACGATGTGGAATTCGCTTATGAAACGCACTCTATTTTGTTTTTACGTTTCATTGTTGAGCTCTAGTTATGCCATATGGTGGGATCCATAATTTCTTATCAGCTCCATAAACTGTGTTGGGGGTCGACTAGCAAATAGAACAAAACAAACACCTCCAAACCACTCAAGGTTTGTACGTCATTTCCCCTCCATAACCGGGGCGGGAATAACAGGCACTGCCAAGAGCACCACTTGACCCTTTGGTTGACACAATGACGCAAAAGCCGCGGGCATCATAAGAGGCAGATCAGCGAAGCAGCAAATCGGGGGAAGAGCGATGGGAGATAGCCCATGTGAACTCATGAATATAAATATTATTATTGTATAAGTCTGATTAGCAAGGGTGCCGAATAAACGCAGTTGGTTTTCCCTGTCATAATTTCTAATAATAATACTACTAACAATAAAGGTTAATATAGGTTTAGGCCTTTTTTTTTAGAGAACATTTCTAAAACTTGATTATGAGTAAACTTGCCGTTAACCTTTTCAAAGTGACTTAAACTTAAGAGGAATTAAATAGTTAAAGCTGCGATATGGAGGGCGTGACCCTTTTAACGGGTTTCTATAAGCTAGATAATAATTAAGTTCGTTTTTAAAAAGTTTATCTTTACTAATTACTCAACTTTTATTTCGTTTTACAGGCAGCATGACCTCCGACTTCTTCAGGGTGGTAAACGAGGCCCGTCGCTATTCTCTGGGCCCCTTCAGTCCCTCTTTTAATATCCAGACCTGCCTGCTGGAGGGCCTACAGAAGCATCTGCCGGACGATGCCCACAAGCGGGTGAATGGACGCCTGCACATCTCACTGACCCGTGTTTATGACGGCAAGAATGTGATCATTTCGGAGTTCGAGTCCCGCGAGGAGGTGCTTCAAGCCTTGCTGTGTGCCTGCTTTATACCCGGGTTCTCTGGCATTTTGCCACCACGATTCCGTGGTGTTCGCTACATGGATGGTGCCTTTTCCGATAACCTGCCCATTCTGGACGAGAACACTATTACGGTGAGCCCGTTCTGTGGCGAAAGTGATATTTGCCCGAGAGACCAGAGCTCACAGCTCTTTCATCTGAATTGGGCCAACACCAGTATCGAGATCTCGAGGCAGAATATTAATCGTTTTGTACGCATCCTGTTCCCGCCACGTCCGGAGTTCCTGTCCAAGTTCTGCCAGCAGGGATTCGACGATGCCCTGCAATTTCTGCATCGCAACAATCTCATCAATTGCCGGCGCTGTGTGGCGGTTCAGTCCACGTTCGTGGTCTCGGAAACAGTTGCCCAGCCCCAGGAGTTTGATCCCGAGTGCAGGGAGTGCAAGAAGCATAGAAAGGTAAGGCATAAATCTATTAAAATTTAGTAAGGAAATATTTAATGTACTTATATTAATGATTACTTTTAATTTCAGGACGCTTTAAGCTCAAATATGCCACAAACAGTACTGGATGTGATTAAGGACTGTATTGAACAGGCCAACAAGGGTTTGGCCAACTGGATATTCAAGCATCGCGGCATCAAGCTGCTTTCCCTGCCCGCCACAGTGCCAATGGACTTTCTGCTGGCCACCATTACCAAGTAGGTTTTTATATTGCTGGAAAGTCATCTAGAATTATTAACTAATCCTTATTTATATATTTTCCTTTTGCAGAATAACCGCTTTGACGCCAAAGCTGACGAAGCAAGCGAGAATAATGGTGGAGGACTTTATTGTTCAGTTGAATAATGCCATGCAAATACGGCTGCTCAATAAATTTACGGTAAGTTCAATGCTAAATACAATTCAATGTCATGTAAATGTTATTCTAAATCAACGACCTGGTTTTTAACCCTAATGAAAACCTTAATGGACAAAAAACTTACAACTGTCTAGACATAAATCACCAAACTGTTTCTTCCTCATTCATTTAATTTTTGTTTAGACTAAGAAGACAATCAGTAAAATAATTCAAACTCATGAATGAATTATTTTTCTTGCAGCTCTATGATCAGCCCCACTTTGATGCCACTGGACTCCTGCACTCTAGCCGGCTGTATGGACCTCGGGTATCCATTCTAGTGGATGAATGGTAAGCGGGAAACTTAAAAATATATTTTCAAATCAAGTTGCTAATAAATTAAATTAAATTTTAGTGGAGCTACCCCGTTGGAGGACGATGTGGATAATTTTGAGCATGTCCTCAAAATGACAACGCATAACGATGCTCTCTATGCGTATTATTACACCGACAACAATACGAACAAGGTGAAAGTGACCGAGATTTTCGATATGACGGAGCACGATGAACTGGCCACAGATCTGCAGATATACGAGGGTTCCGTCGAGGATCATCCTAATCCACATCAGCACAGCCACAATACTGTGGTGAGTGAGTGGAATGGCGTCGAATCAGGTTAGTAGTTTAAAAAAAAATGTTATTTCTTTTTTCAAAAAATCACAAATCATTATTTATCATTTTTGCAAACAAATAAATTGAATCACAAACACCGAAACATTTTTTACAGTACAAATTATGCCCACGACACCTGAACTTCACGACGTAGCCTTTTAAAGCACTTAAAAAAATAGATCTATAAAAAACGACTATAAAAAATGCACGCAATTCATAAAACCCACTTTAGTCTTCAAATTTTCAAATATCATTGGCAGGTAAATGCTACAAAATTTTGTAAATCACAAACACCCATCGAATTTTACGATTTCATTTCGCCTGAAATTATTTATTTTGGAACCTGACTAATTTCTATTCTTTTCCCAATCCTCTACAGACTTCTTCATTGATGCGCAGACACCGATTGTGGATGAGGACAGTAAATCCATAGCGCCGCAGTTCGTTGCCCGCCTTGATCTGGAGGCCGAGTCAGATGCTAGCGTCTTCAGTGATCCTGAGGTTGATCAGAGTTTTAGCACCAGCATTACGCCCAACAGCGATATGTATATAGAAATTGAATGAGCACAATGGGAGGAGGAGGAGACACGTCCCGTCTCATCTTAGGAACTGTAACGAAACATCTCCAAAGCGGCAAAGCCTAGTAGCGTTTCCATTAGCTTATGTAACTAGTTTTAAGTACGACCAACGTATGTACCTTAACTTAAATTAGCCGTAATGCTGCCATTGTAACATCGTCAGTTTTGTAAGCGGCAATTAGCAAATAATTGCATTCTTGTTATTATATTCACCTCTCGCATGACATGTAATATCATCTCTAGATCCCATCTGTGTTTAGGCCTAAGTTGATAATGTATAAATAATTAATAAATAAATAATAAAAAAATGATTTTATAAAGTGTCGAGTGTTTAGATTAAAAGCAGAAATGGGAGTCTGGGTTTCAGTAAATATAAAAATAAGATTAATTAATTGTTCAATATTTCCAATTTTTTTTTTTTTATATTTTAATAACGTCTCAAAATATATATGACTTTTGTTAATCATTCGATATATTTTTTAAATATTTGTTTCGGTAAATAAAAGATTTTTAAATATTATAAGCCAAAAATGCAATAAGTTCAGTTCAGAAACCATTTGAAATTAATATTCCAAAGATTAAATTGTTGGAAATAATTATGGTTAAATAAACCCTCATTTATTTATATTTATGGTTAAATAAACCGTCATTAACATTAAAAAAAATTAAATTTAAATAAATTGATAGATATAATATCGATATCCGCAATCATCGATCACAAATTAGCCCTCGCGATAGTCCTACCAATCGTGCCGGCCTCAACGATAGTTATCGATGATGAGCCATCGCAGTTTTCACATCTCTAACCCGTAGCCGAATTATTGTTTTTTGTTTCCACTAATTAAATTGCAAGAAAATTGCTTAAATTGTGCGTTTAAAATAGCGGCAACTCGGCAGACACAGAATGGAGGCGGTGCCGCGTTTGCATATGCTGTGGTTCGCCCTCAAATCGAGTCCCGAAGGGACCTCCTTTTCGGCTCTGAAAAAGGTAAAGAGTGTGGAGAGAAGAAGAGAGAGACGAGACAATAAGGGGGAGTAGGCGAAAGAAAATTAAGAGAGTTGGCAAAACAAAGAGGTGGCCCATATTATAATTAAGTTGCTATCAGTCAATGCCGGGGAAAATTGCGTTGTTTTTCGGGGTTCCTCTGGCTGCAATTGCATTCTTTGGGGCTCCTCCAATTTTGCCTTTTCACCATTTTTAAGCTGTCTTTGTGTGGGGCGGCTGAGTCACCGCCATCATCTGACCCCCCCAGACAGCTGTTAAACAAAAAGTTATAAACAAACAATGGTGGGGGAGTAAATTGCTATATATTTATATGTGAATTTCTTTTTGAAGTTATGGGAACTTGAACTTTGGGGTTTTTGTTAATTTTACACTTGAAAAAGAAGCTTAGGATTATCTTATTTAACTTGGATTTTCTAAGCTTTAATTATTTTAGATAAATTTCTGAATAATTACAGAAACCTTCCTAAAGTCATTTAAGCAAAAAAATAACGCTCAAAAAAGAATAATTGAACATTAAATAATACTCCCCTTTTTCCCCCCAGTACATTGCCGAATTCTACCATGAAGATCCCGAAGCTTACTCCAAAGAGGTCCATGCCTTGGAGACGCTGCGCAACCAGGCCATGCGCACCACCAAGGATGGAGCACCGGTGATGAAGCGCTACTATTGCCAGCTTCACGCCCTCCAGAATCGTTTTCCCCAGCTGGTGGATCGCGGCATCTTTACCTTTACGTGGAAGGACCTCTACCACAGTGCCGTGCACGAGGTTAGCGATCTGCGCTTTGAGCGTGCTGCTGTTCTCTTCAACATTGCCGCCTCACACACACAATCCGGAGCATCGGTGACCCGTGGCGATGTAGATGGCATGAAGATGGCCTGTACTCACTTTCAGGCCGCTGCTTGGGCCTATGGAGAGCTGAGGGAGCGCTATGCCAATGTCAATAGTGGCGGTGATTTCATGACCCAGGAGCTGCTGGTGTTCCAGCAACAGGTGTGCTTTGCCCAGGCCCAGGAATGCATATTGGAGAAGTCGCTTATAGACAACCGAAAGCCGCATATTGTGGCCAAGGTTACGGCCCAGATAGTGGTTTATTATGGAGCTGCTTTGGCGGCTCTGCTCACCGGGGGAGATGAGGGTCCCGTGGCCCAGGTCATTGACAGCTCTGTCTACAAGCTGTGGAAGAAGTATGTGCGCTTCAAGATCAATTATCTGAACTGCATCCTGTACTTGTACCAGGGACAACATGCCGAGGAGAAGCGACAGATGGGCGAGCGTGTGACCTTGTATGAGGCATCCTGGGAAAAGTTGGAAGAGGCACGCAAGGAGTCCAAGGGCCTGCCCGACCAGAGGGAAATCAATGAATCCCTCAGTTTCACCGCCGATGTCGTCGAGGCCAAGCGCAAGAATGCCAAGAATGAGAATGAGTTTATCTACCACGAGGCAGTGCCGGAACTCTCCACCATTGCTGCAGTCCAAGGTGCCAATCTGGTCAATGGCATTGGCTTCCAAGTCACCGATGAAGAGCACTCTGGCCCGGATATCTTTGCCAGACTGGTGCCTATGAAGGCCCATGAGGCCAGTTCTTTGTACAGCGAGGAGAAGGCCAAGTTGCTGAGAAAGTATGGGGCTTTGCTGGAGGAGAAGGACACCCAACTGGAGGCTTATATGAGTTCCCTAACCCTGGATAATCTGAACATTAATGAGGAGCAGGCCAACAAGCTGCCCCAGGGCATAGTGGATCGTTGTGCTTCTCTAAATGCCAACAAAACCGCCATTAGTGACCTTGTGGAGGCCATGTCGCAGCTGGCGGAGATAACAGCGGATGTTGAGACCAATTTAGGGGAGATTTCTCAGATGCTAGAGGCGGAGGCCAAGGCGGAACAGGAGTTCCAGTCAGCCAGTGGAGTACAAAGAACCCCCAATGCTCACATAACCGAGCTGACCAGAGAATTCCAAAAGTACAGTGAGGCCCATGCCCGAGCTGGTGAATCCAACAACACTTTGCGCAATGCCATGAGCCTGCACGTCAACAACCTAAAGATTCTGGCCAGACCTTTGCCGGAAATCCAGCAACTGATGCCCAAGCTGAGCTCAGAGCTGAACACCACGGAAATCTTCAGGGATGTCAAGCTAATAGTCAACAAGGTGAACGAAATGAAGGCTCAGCGAGCTCAGTTCCATGCCGATCTAAGGATTGCCATCAACGAGGATGACATAACCACCAAGGTGATAGCCCATGGGGGTCAGGAAGGTCTCCAGGCTCTCTTTGCCGCAGAACTAAGTAAACACGACAAGTTGACGCAGTTGCTGGATCTGAACATGGAGGCTCAGGCCAACATACTGCAGGCTCTCACCGAGAATTATGCCAAGGCGGCGCCGGTACTGAAGACCCTCCAGGATGTGAAGCAGAAGAGGGAGCACTTTTACAGCTCCCTGGCCGTCTCCTATGATGTGTACGGGGATCTGATGGCCAAGTCGGCGAAGGGATTGGAGTTCTACAAGAAGCTGGCAGGAAACGTACAGAAGCTACTCACCAGATTTAGGTCCGCCAGGGATGTGCAGTCGGAGGAGCGTCAGCAGCGAATGCAGAGTGTTAAGGCGGCGGCAGCCACACCTCCTGCGGTGAGTAAATCCCTAGCAGAAGCAACGATCACTAGCAGCAGCACGCCCAAGCTGAGGGATTACCTAAAGGCCAAGGCAGCCATGGCGGATGCCTCAAATCCCAGCTATGTGCCCACAGTGCGTCCCGTGCCCGTGGGCTCGGAGAATCCCACGCAGGCCGCCTGTTCCTATGCCACTGCATTACCGCCAAATGAGCCACCGCCGCCATACAGCTTGACCCAGCAGCAGTACTTTGATCCCAGTGCCGCTGGCTACACGAATCCCATGTATCAGCAGCAGCAGAACGTTGCTCCGCCGGCCTACAAGGCTCAGGCATCACCCAATTCCCAGACGCTGCATGGAGCCTTGGCGCAAATGAGTTTGCAGGCACAAACCTTGGACCCCAATCAAGCGGGATTGGGCTATAGCTATGGCTTTCCAAGTGGAGCGGTACCTCCGCTGGCCTATGCGGCGCCGGGTGTGGGTCCTGGAGCCCCAGCTAGCTCTGCTTCCCAGGGATTTAGCTACCAGCAGCCCTTGTATGTGGCCACATCGGGGAATAACAATTCCAGTGAGGTGCCCTCATCTCTCCAGGCTCCTTATGCGGGGAACACCTACCAGGGAACGGCGGGAGCAGGCTATCCGGGAGGGGCATACTTACAGGCTGGTCAAAATCAACAGCAAGTGGGTTATCCTGCGGCATCAACGGGTTATCCAGCGGGACAGGCAATGGGATTTGCTCCAAATCAGCAGCAGCAACCTGGAGGATATGGCCAGCAGCAGAATCAACAGCCACAGGTGGCGGGCTATCCTATAACGCAAACTTCGCAGCAGATATCAACGGGTTATCCGCAGTCTGTGACGGGATCTACAGGATATCCGCAGGCACAGACACAGCAGCAGCAGCAGCCTTCGGTTTATCCTCAGTCCCAGACGCCGCAGCAACAGGTCACCGGTTATCCACAATCCCAGACGCCGCAACAACAGGCTACGGGTTATCCGCCAGCTCCAACACCTCAGCAACAAGCTCCAACCTTTTCTCAAACTCAAACAACGCAACAGCAGGCGGCAGGATATCCACAGACTCCACAGCATCCCCAAGCAGCCGCTGGGTATCCTCAAGCCCAGACTCAGTCACAGGGCCAGGCTTACACGCAACCACAAGCGGGTTATCCAGCACAGCCCTCGCTGTATCCCTCCCAGGCTGTTCAAGCCTCGCCGCAATCAGCTCCTGTGATGCCCCAGAATCCTGGCCAATCCTTGCAGTATCCCCAGGCAGGTTCATCTCCTGCTCCGGCTCCTGAGGCATCTCCCATTCCTGCACCCATACCAGCTGGAGTTCCCAACAATCCTCCCGTTCCCACACAAGCTCAACCACCTCAACCCTCAGCCACGTACAGCAGCTACTCCAATCATCCCGGCTACAGCTTCAATCCCCAGACGGGCAAGTACGAGTACAGCAGTGGCTATCAGCAGGACAGCAGTTCGGTGAAGGGAACCCAAGGATCCCAGAGCTACCAGTTCAGCCAAAGTGGCCAGCAGCAAGCAGTTGGAACCACAGACTCGGAGAGTGCCAACCGCACTAATCCGGCCACAGGATTTGATGTAAGTACAAGGCTTACTTTTTCTTTAGAGGAATCAAAAGCTAATTTAACGCTTTTTTCAACAGTCGCCCATTGTGTCTCACACCAAGGCGAACCTGCCAGCCCAGGACCCCATGGCGGCGGATGGAAATCGCTCAGAGTCGTCCCAATACTACACCACTCCCTATGGTTACCAGCAGCAGGCGCAAACGCAGCTAAAGCCTACTCCTTTGGCGCCAACGAATCCCACATCGGGTTCCATTTACATGCAGAGCGGAGCCAGCAGCATTGCCAACACCCAGACCACCACAAGTGGACCTCCGTATGCCTCCTCCACTGCCTCGGTTAAGCCGCAGGCGGAGACCAAGGTGGAGGCAATCCCACCCAAGGTATCCAGTAGCAATGTGGACCTGCTAAGTGATCTGGACATTGATTTATCCGTGGCTGTGCCGCCACCTATGATGCCCCAACCCGTGCTGCAGCCCACGCCGCCAGGCAGCCAGGTGGAGAGCGTAGCTCCCGCAACGCCTGAAGTTCCCCCAGCAGCAGCAGCAGTTCCCGAGGAGATCACCCCAATTCCTGAACCCTTGCCAGTGGCTAATCTCAAGTCCGGTAGTCTGGATAATCTTTCCAATTGCTCCGATTTGAGTTCTCTGGAGAACTTTGATTGGGATTCGGTTTCACTCACACATTCCGCCAGCGAGAAGCAGCAGCCACTTAAGGCAACAGCTGGAGCCAATGGCCATCCCAACAATTTTTCATTCCAAGCCGAAACATTCACCGATGAGAAGACTACAAAATATTTCCAAAAGGAGGTCGAAAGCTACGAAAAGTTGCTGGAGAATCTCCACGTCAAAATGCTGAATGGAAAGACCCAGCTGGGGGCCAAGTGGCACGAGTTGCAGCAGAAGCTGGACAAGGAGGCAAGTGCCAGCAAGCGATCCACCACGATTGCTAAGTTGTTTCCCGAAAAGAATCGATCCCTCGATTGTCTGCCCTACGATCATGCCCGAGTGAAGCTGGACAAGCAGACAGATGACTATATCAATGCTGCTTACATGAAGGTGAGTTGTGGTTTTATGGTTTAACTAGTAGAGGAAATAATTTGTAAATTTCCCTTTAATTTCAAACCAGAACTTGAGTGCCGGCTGCCCGAACTTCATCATTGCTCAGACTCCGCAGGCAAATACCATCAACGACTTTTGGTCCATGATCTGGTCGGAGAAGTCGCGCACAGTGGTCTGTTTGCATACCACCAATGAGGTGAGTTTAGCTTTTGTTTAGCTTTACCACAAACTGAAACTAATGTCCATTGAAATCTCCCCTTTCCTTTCTAGCTCTTTGATCCATTCTGGCCACAAAGCTTGGATCAGACTGCGCATTATGATGACTACAGCGTGACCTGTGTGAAAATTCAGCAACTCAGCCACTGTTCTGAGTATCAACTGAAGTTGTCCATGCACGGAGCAGACGCTGTTTTGGATTTATCCCTGCTGCAGTTGAAGCAGTGGACCAAGGGGTTAGGATTGGAAATTGAATTGAATTTGAATCTATAACTCATGTATTATTTGTTTAGATCACCTGCTCAACTTCTGGGTGTGGCTGAGAATGCCCTGGAGACTCATCGCCAGCGTTGTAAGGCAGCTAATGCTCCACATTCGCCGCTCATTATGAACTGCCTGACGGGCTCAGAGCGTTCCGAACTGGTGGCCATTGGAGTGTGCGCCGAAATAGCCACCCAGACCAAGCAACCTATGCTGATAAGTAAGAAGATTTTAATGGTAAACTTATTAATGTTATTATGTAAACCTTTTTCTTTTACTTTTCTTACCAGATTTGGTGGATGTTTGGTCCCGTATTTGTGCCCAGCGTCAAAACTCTCTAAGAGACTCGGCCATCCTGGAGCAGTCCATGCAGATTGTGCTCTGCAATGCCCATAATGTGCTCAACAAGCGTAAGAACCCAGTAATTAACTAATTAAATTCAAAAACCAATTAAATGTATTATTTATGATTTTAAAAGGTGGCATAATGACATCGTATCAAATGAAAATGGCACCGCAGGTGACTGCCAAGGAGCAGCAGGAAACCAAGGATCCGCTTAACGAACTGGATGCCCTTTGGAAGCTTAAATAAACTGACTGAACTGAACCAACCAATTGTGGCAGATAACTAAAGATTTATCGAGTATTTACAACTATTTAACTGTGTGTGCAAAAAAGATCTATTTCTACAAATCTGACATTGTTGCAAACAATTTAAAGCAAAGAAAAACAAATGAAAAGTATTTGAGAGGATATCGAAATCATTTTGTAATCTATATCATATATCGTAACTGTAATATTGTCTTTAACAACTGTTATATGAAATTTAATTCGAAGCTAAACGAATCGTGATCGTGATGTTAATGTGGGATATTTGTCAAGCGTTTCAAACCACTCTATACGAGTATATTTAAATATTATATATATCAATGGACACTACTGGATATTATTGTCAAACATTTATAACACTTAATAAAATGCATAAAATATAACAGTTTGGTTGAATTTCTTCTAAGAACGTCTGGGGGGTTTGAAATCTCTAAAAAGGTTTAAAACTGAAAATGTTAAATATTATTTAAGATAATTTTTAATAATTTTTTGAAGCTTTTAAATTTTTATACCCTTGCAGGGTATTATAATATCAGTCAGAAGTTTGCAACGCAGTGAAGGAGTCGTTTCCGACCCTATAAAGTATATATATTCTTGATCAGCATCAACAGGGGAATCTTTCTAGATATGTCAGGAAGAAATCGATTTTTTGGCCATTTTTGCAAAATTTTATAAGGGGTTACATCATTAAAATTTTTGATTTTGATAAAAAATGGAATTTTCAAAATTTTTAAATGAAGTATGCAGATTTATTAACTGTAGAAAATCTTGCACAGAACAGTTTTCCGATTTAAAATTAATGCTCATTTGGTCGAGCTATGATATTTTTAATTAATAAAAAAAAAAAAAAGAAGTTTTTTAATATAAAAAATCAGATTTTATAATACAAAATAATATTTCTCTAAGTGAAGGAATTATTTCCGACCCCATAAACCATATATATTCTTGATCAGCATCAACAGGGGAATCTTTCTAGATATGTCAGGAAGAAATCGATTTTTTGGCCATTTTTGCAAAATTTTATAAGGGGTTACATCATTAAAATTTTTGATTTTGATAAAAAATGGAATTTTCAAAATTTTTAAATGAAGTATGCAGATTTATTAACTGTAGAAAATCTTGCACAGAACAGATTTCCGATTTAAAATTAATGCTCTTTTGGTCGAGTTATGATATTTTTAATTAAAAAAAAATCAAGAAGTTTTTTAATATAAAAAATCAGATTTTATAATACAAAATAATATTTTTCCAAGTCAAGGAATCATTTCCGACCCCATAAACCATATATATTCTTGATCAGCATCAACAGGGGAATCTTTCTAGACATGTCCGGAAGAAATCGATTTTTTTTGCCATTTTTGCGAAATTTCATAAGGGGTTACATCATTAAAATTAGCAAAAATGGCCAAAAATTTTGATTTCTTAAAATTTTAAATTTGGTATGCAGTTGTTTTAAATTAATAGAAACTAACACAAAACTGCTTTCCGAATCGAAATTAAATCATTTTTGGCTTAGTTATGATATATTTTAATTGTTACCTGCAAGGGTATACAAACTTTGTATAATTTTTCAAGAATAGAACTCTTGTTGCTCCAAGTAATCTTAGTTATAACTGCCACCTGTAAATATTATTAGTTTTCACAATGAATGTGATCAATATTCGGTGGCAATCCTGCCTGATTTTTTGCATTGCGCTCATTTACTTCGTGTTGACACTGATATTCATTGGCCTTTATATATCTAAAAGTGAACCAATATCGCCGCAAACAAGCCAGCTCAAACCAAAACCTATACATTCCAAGCTTAAAACAACTGACAAACCAGAAATCCGCCGCTCTCAGCCGCCAATCAGTGCCTGGAAGCTGTCTTCATTGGTTAAATTTGATTTAACACCACGATTTCTGTATAACGGTGGCCGTAAGGATGCAAAGTTCGTGATTGGAGTGCCCACGGTGGTGCGGGCCACGGGGGGAAATTATGTGCTGGAGACGATCAATTATTTGATTCAAAGAATGTCGCCGGAACAGCACAGCATTTGCCTGATTGTGATCTATGTGGGGGAGACCAGCCTGGAGTTCGGCAAGTACATAGTCAGGGAACTGAGAATGAACCACGCCGAGCATTTAAAGTCGGGGCTGATAGATGTGATTGCTCCACATCTGCATTACTATCCAAACTTCACGCAGCTCCATGCCACGCTCCACGACGATCTGCCAAGAGTTCAGTGGCGAACCAAACAGAACCTGGACTACATATACCTAATGTCCTATGCCGCACCGAAGGGTTCCTACTACCTGCAGCTGGAGGATGATGTGATGCCCAACGAGGGCTATTTGGACTACATGGAGAAGACAGAGTTCATGCATAGCAGCTTTCGTTTTGACCAGCAGCCCGATTGGATCGTCATTAGCTTCTCTGAATTGGGCTTTATCGGGAAGCTTTTCCGCAGCTCGGTGCTCCACTCGTTTGTGACTTACCTGAAACTGTTTTGTGACCACCAACCCATCGATTGGTTGCTCCAGAGCTTTCTGACCCTGCAGAGTTGCCGCTGGGACAGTATATCGAAACCGGACTGCCAGCGGGAATTTGAGTCGAGGATAATCCGGGTGGACCAGTCCCAGTTTCAGCACATGGGCCAGCTATCTTCCTTGGAGCGAAAGAAGCAGCATCATAAGGATCATTTTTTCAATCAAAATTTGGAAAGGCAACGATTGCCACATCTGCGGCAGCCCCTCAACCTGGTGGTCTCCCATCGCAACTCCCTCCTGCGACAGAATCTCGACCTGCAACCAGGCGAAACCTTCATTTGGATGTACATGCCGCAGATGCCCAAGATAATCGAGAATTTGATAACAACTCAGTACACAAGCTCAGAGCTTCGCATAAGAAATCACAATAAAACAGCCAAGACCCTCTCCGAGTTCAGTGTGCAACTGGTGGAGAAGTTGCCCATCTTGCATAAGAATGCCACTTCAACCAAACTCTGTGGGTTTGTTATGAGCCACACCATGAAAGACAGTGACAACTTCATGTTCTACTATATAAAAGAGGATTCGAAGGATACTCTGAGCTGGTTTCGTCGCTTCCTTTGGGCTAAAAATGCCAGTGGAAGGCCACACTTAGATTGGCTTGTAAAAAAAATCGTTGCTTTATTATTATATATAGCTTAATTTTGGTTATTAAAACACTTTTGAGTTTTGAAATATTTTTGAATTATTTATTAAGCTTATACACACACATTACACGCATATATATATATTTGTTGTTCTTTGTTTGATTTCGATTAAGTTTTTTTGTAGTTTTCTCTCAACCAACAAGGGCTTATGAATATTGTAAAAATAATTTGTAATAACTTTCGGCTACAATTTGAATGGGTGGTGGTGGTAGGAAGCCTATAATATTGCCAGCTATGTTTAATGTATAACACAGGACGACAGGTTTTTGGAACCAAGAACTGGTTTACATTTTTTTGATAGTTTTTGATGCGCTAAACTCAAATCCAATCTCAGAAAATGTTTTGGATTTAATTTCAGTGCATCAAAAACAATCGAAAAACGTGTATTCCAGTTGTTAGTTCTACAAATTCTTTAAATATTGTCGACCTGTGCAATTCAGTTGTTTTGATTAACTATCAACTATTATTGTTGCTTGCTAATAATTGTTCGTAATTTGGCCAAATATGAGTGAGTGTGTGATTTTTTGGAGAGAGCAGCGATAAATTATTGTTGCACACATATAACACAGGGATACATATATAAAAATATATGCAAAACATTTGTTTAATTAATGTTTAGTTTATTTGAAAGCAGTCTACCTTTATTTGTATATATATAGCGGCATATTAACACAAAATGGGTTACAAGATATATATATATATATATATATATATATATATTTCGATAGCTAGAACCAAATCTATGCCACTATATACACATTACAATTCTCGTTACTCAACAGGAACCAAGTTTTTAAATATTTATCATTCTTCGTTTCTTCTTTGTTCTTCAGTTTCTTTTTGTTTATAGACTATCATAAAAAATTTGGCGTTTCCAATTAGTTAAACCAATTATTATTAAATTTGTCGTGTGTGTTTTGTATATAAAAAAGTGTTCTTTTGGAATTTCGTTAGACAATTTGCTAATCAGCATTGCGTATATATTATTTAGTTCATTCATTGTTCTTTAGACAAAAAACTATTAACAACAAATCACAGTAAAAAAGCAACAATGCTAAAAATCCATTCGCATAGGTTTATGTATGATATTTATGTATCAAAGACCTTTGTATATTTCAAGTGTATGGGCGTTATTTTAAGGTCTTTATATGTATCTTATGGCTTCATATTCAAGGATATATGTTGGATGATCTGAACTAAATTAAGATAAATTATTAGAGAGTAAAGAGGAATACTTGAACCAATTAATACATGGACTAATATTAAACATTTGCTTTATAGATATATCGATTTCAGCTGTGTAGTTCGAGATTCTTCGGGATTCTTTGTGAAGATTCAGCAATAAGGAAAACAAAATATTCATTGGAATGTGCGTTTTTTGTTTAGCTGCCAATATAAAAAGAAGTTAACACTTAACAAACTAAAGCAGTGGGTAAAATGTATAACATAGCCATAACTGGGATATGAGAGCTTGGCTTGGCTGCTGACTAACAAAGTTTATTCAAGAGTTGAAGAAACCTTAACAAATTTGGTTCTGGGAATTCATTTGGACATCTAAGTTTAGTCAGCAGCCAAACATATAGTCCTAGAATCACTTACAGTTTAGGTTACAGAGAGAGAGATAGAGAGTTATCTGGGAGATTATTTACACATTTAGATATATAATCGAGAGGGGGGGTGTAAAAAGCATCTTTCAAAAAATATACATACAGATGTGTACAGTACATTAGGTCATATAGATCGATTTTGGGATGAATGCAAAAAACATTGAGAAATCGTAGAGAGAGCGGAAAATATTTTGAGAATTATTACATTTTTGAATTTATAAATTTCAAAAAAAGAATGAATGTTGAATTTTAAATTATAATAATAATTTAATTTAACTTTCTGCTCTCAAATTCTTGAATGAAATTTAAATATAATTTTCTGCTCTCACAACGATTCTCGGTCCACAAAATCCACCACATTCCTAGACAGATATATAGACAAATTGTGGATGGGCAAGCGGATTCGATCAGCGATCTTTTGTTAGCTCCTTCCTAATCCTCCCAGACGTCCATCTGCCTTTCCCTGTGGCGATGTAGCAATCAGCTGCCCGCCACAAACCTGGGCTTCGCCGCATTCACCTCCGACTTGGGATCACTCCCCCATTCCTGCAGTTCAATCTCGCTGAGCAGAGCCCAATTCTCACTGTCGCTGTGCACGTGCAAGCGCAGCTCCTTGATGGCACCAATCTTCACATCCAGCTGACCCTCGGCAACGCCTAGGCTATCGAAGGCACCGACCACCAGATACCCATCCGTGGTGGTATTGAAGTTACTCCAAACGGACGAGTTCTCGCTGAGGGTATCCGCCGGCAGAAGCTCCACGGTGGTGTTGTAGAATCTATCCGATGGGTGCTCCGAATTTCCACTGCGGAAGAGATAGCGACGCAGCTGGGTGGGTCGTTCGAATATGAACTGGACAAGATCACCGGGTTGTGGGAGCAGGCCCCAGAAATAGGATTCACCGCGATAGGCACGCTTCAGAATGTAATTTTTGTACGGAGCAATGTTGGACTTGACCAAGGCTGGGGGATTATGGGTGTGGGCATAATACTGCGGCACCTTGCTGCCAAATTGCTTGTCCTTCAGCTTCTGCACCTTGCCCTTCAGAGAGGAACTGGTGCCAATGTGCTGGAACAGGGACTTGCGAAAGTGCTGCCAGTACTTGGCCTTCTCCTGATTGCAATGCTTTTGATCCTTGTCCGTGCGGCATACTTTCGATTCGATGAAATAGGTGAGAAGCCAGTCCACAGGCTTGTCATTGTAGAACATCTGGAAGTAGGTGATCAGATAGGGCAGCTCTGCACTCTTGAACATCTTGCCAATGAAGCCCAGCTGGCAAAAGTCCAAGACAAACCAGGCCGGCTGATCGGGCTTCGTGAGAGCGCTCTTGATCAGGGCGAATTTCTTCATTGTGGTGATAAACTGCCGCTTGGTTAGGATGTCATCCTCCAGCTGGACGTAGAAGGTGCCCTTTGAGTGGGCATAGGCCATTAGGTAGGCAAAGTCCAGGTTCTGCTTGCTCCGCCACTTGACGCGCTCCAGCGGATCGTTTAGGGTGATGCGAAGGCGCTCAAAGTTGGGGTAGTAACTGGGCGCCGGGGCTATGATATCAATCAGTCCGCTGTCCAAATACTGCTCAAAGCTAGCCTCGATTTGCCGGGCAATCAGTTGCACGGCCTCCAGATCCGTTTCACCTATATACACAATAATCAGCGTCTCGTTCTGCTCCTCGTCGTTCATGTTCTCGATGAGATTGTGCAGGGTTCCAAGGAGATACGATTGCTTCTCCCTCCTCACCGTGGGCACTCCCAGTACAATGCTGACATCCGTACGACCTTTGCTTTGCAAGTAGGCTGGACGCAGGGATCCCGCATCATCCAGTAGATGCGGCAGAAAGTGATAGGCATTGGGCAGACGTATGTTCTGGCCGCGAATCATTGAACCATTTGCCCCACCGCCACCTCTGCTGATGTGCGAGGCATTCTTTAGCAGCTGCCTAGCCTCGGGACTCAGGCCATCCAGCAGATTAATCACAGGCAATGGAGGAGGTGGCGGCGACGGCTGCGTACCAGCTCCAGTCACATTCCCATTAATGATTTGTATTTGACCCAGGTACTGAGAGAGCAGCGCCACATCCTCCTGCCGGGCCCGATACATGGACTCTAGATACTGCAACCGCATATGGCACTCGGCCAGGCGTTGGGTCAGCGACTGTTCGGTGGATAGCTCCGGTCCCATTACCATCAGGATAACTATGCAGGGTGCCAGCACCAGGGCCGTCACTATTAGCATGCAGTTCCGCTGCCTAATCTTGAACATGGTTTACCACTATTATATTTAATTAAGCTAACTGCTTAGCTTCCGCCTTTGGGTTGGCTCTTGCTTCTGGTTCCGTTTCTGTTTCGTTCTCTGGTGGTTCGTTGTTGTGCTGTCGCCGTTCCCTTGGGCCGGCTGTCATCCTCATTCCTCCTATGACTAATGCAGGTACTGCAATAACAGAAACAATTTTTATAGTTTTTTATACACATTAAAAAAAAAAAATGGTTAAACTAACAGCTTTAAAAATATTATTTTCAACTGCAAACCAGAGGCCCATAAATTCGAAAGAAATGTTTACGAAATCAAGCAATAATGAGCTCTGGTTTCGATATACATTTGTGTTCTTGGGAAAGTACTTTTCTTTCAAGTGTTGTGGGCTGGGGTGGGGTGGGGTTCGCACTGAAGGTCGCACCGTTTAACGGCCGCCTTGCCTTGCCCTGCCTTACCCGAGTTGGATTAACAACGTCGACGTCGTCGGTGGTGATGATGGTGGCAGCAGCTGTCGCAGTTCTCGCCACATGACCTGGCCGTGGGTATGGATTGGATGGTGGAATAATAATTGTTATATACTGAGCACTCAAGACGATGATAGTAGTTGACTTAGAGACTTACATGGCCAAGGGCCCCGCAGGAAGCTATTGTTATCCTCCAGCGCCGTCGCCGCCTGCGTTCGATCGGTGGGACTCTGCAAAATGGAGGAGAATGCTGTTCGTTTAGGGAAATCATTATCCATGCCTGCGGACTTGTGAGGCTAGATTCCCTTAGCTATGATTAGGGCTAACCATTAGAAATCCCACAGGGATCGTGCTAAGCTCTAAAGCCATTAATGAAATGTGTAAATTAATTAGTTACCTAATCTAATGGGTTTTAATGGGAAAACTAGGGTTTTAATGGGTCAATTATAAAAAGAGTCTCAAAAAAAGAGTCTAAAAAATGTTATAATATTGGTGTTTTTACGGTTCTTGAAAAATAATACTTTTCTTATTATTTTAAAAAATTATATGTATTAAAAAATTAATAAAATAATGTATTTTTACAAAGCTACTTAATTCTGGCGTTCAGCTTCATTAAATTATTAAAATTATTTTTATTAAAAATATTTATTTATTAAAAATCTATTAAAAAATAAATAAAATAATGTATTTTTACAAAGCTTCTTAATTCTAGCGCTCACTATACATTGAAATATCCCGTTATCCGGAATTGACCTTTTCTTATCCTTGTTTATCCGCGGTATCGGCTATTCGAGATCAGCGATCGATTTCGGTTCAATATGTGCGAACCCTAACAATGCCATTGGGCTGGGATCTCAATCTTGACACTCCGTTTAGCAAACGCGGAGCGAAAGTAAACAATTATTGTAGCAAAAGCTAAATAGGTAAATAAACAACAACACCCAAAACTTCGCACCCACGCACGCACACCACAAAGGGGAGGGGGAAGGGGAAACGAATACGCACACGGGCGCAGCCCTTGCATGTATTTAACTCACATTTGATTGCAGCTCGGAAATTGCAAAATTAATAAGCACTAAATAGGAACACAGATTGAACGTAGAGTCTCGTCGTCGGTTATTTATCCATTTATGGATTTTGTACGCCGTTTTGCTGTTCGTCGTTTTCGCCCCGATTTCGTGCTGCCACGGTTTTTGGCCATACGTTTCGCACTTTTCGCCACGCCTGGCTCTTGTTACATCTTTGCGCGTTATGTAAAGGCGGTGTAAATTATTGCAGCAGCTCGCGATTGTTTAATTTTTTATGTACAGCGACGGGGAGGGGAAATTGTTTAAACCCGAGCAAAAAAAACAACTGGTTGTTGATAAAATACCGAAATACCGAAACCGCGATATTTTCATTTGATATTTTCTGATATTTTTCCCTTGGTCACTCTGACTTTCAAAGTAAAATGTCAATTTACATCTTGGGGTTTTTGGGGTCGAGTATTTGTGTATTTTATCCTATTGCACATTTTTATTATATAATTTTCCCTTTGGGGGCGCTTAATTTATAATTTATATATGGATAATTTTAAAAATATTTATCTTAAAATGAAATGGTATATTTTAGTATAAAACTCTGGTCCCACTCCGGCAGCGGCTGCATTAAAACAACAAAAGATATTTCGCGAAAAAATGATTTTAACTCTGCTAAATGGCACCGGTTTCATTTTCAACGTCAATGGTGAGCTTGTTAACTACGGAACATAATAATAAAACCAACTAAATAAATGTATTTTGGTTAGATTACATGGAACTGCGTAGCAAACACCGAATAATGGGTGCTCCTGTGGGCACGGCAAATACCAAGGGCTGGAGTCCCAATCAGTCGAGTGAGTTTTGCGTTTTCTGATTGGATTTCTTTCTTTAATAAAGAAAGACTAGCTCCAGGAATGCCCAATTATCTAAATACAATATTATAAACTCACATCTTTTAGCTCTCCCCGTGGAACTGTCCAAATTCGAAACTCAATTGGTTTTGGATGAGCACATAGCCCAATTGGTGGATAAATCTCAGGCTCTGAAGGCTCCACCCACACCAGAAAAACTACAAGAATATCAGGCAGATTTCGAGTCACGTTTGGTGGCACAAGAAACCAGTCTCAAGAGGGAAAAGCTCCGGGAAACAGAGCGATATATGGATAAAATACTGACAGGGAAGCGCAACAAGTTGTTGAAGCAAGGAAACATGGATAAAGGTGAATTATCTTAAATTCTTCAAATAGAGTAATATATAACAAAAATTAAATAATTAATTTTAATTAAAATTTATATTTTACTTTCCAGCTGCTGCTTTAACCGCTGAAGATGTACTGAAAGAAATGTCGGATAACTTCAAGTTTGATCGTCAAAATGCCTTGGTGGAGCTGCCCTGCGAACACTTAAGAGAGCATTGTATATATAATCAATCGGATTTCCTTAGTAATATAGTACTAAATCCATTTTTTTTATCTTATTTGCAGCTGGGGAAAAAATCTACGGACCCCTGGTGGACACCAACTCCCTTAAATATAGAATTTTTAAAGATCTTTGGAAGCGTGGAAAGTTTGTGACCTCTGGCGATGCTTTTGGAGCGGACTTTCTGGTCTATCCTGGAGATCCTCTTATATATCACGCCTCGCACATCGTAATTGTCCAGGATACACCTGTAATTAAGCCCCTGGAACTGGTAGCAAAGGTGCGCTTGTCTGTGATTGTCAACAAGAGTTGCGTCTTTGCTTATGATAGCGAAGATAGCAAGGAGATTCATTACCAAACGGTGTCCTGGTGGAATCCTAGCAAGTGAGGAACAACACAATGGCAAGTAAGTAAATGTTGCAGATACTCCAAGGGCGAAAAGCCTTACAGTTTTTTAATTTAAAACTAAATTAAGCAATTTCTATTAATCATGTTTAATTGAGCTTAAATATAAAAATTTAAAGATGGGTTAATCAAATGTTTTTTTGTTAAAATTATTTTTAGTTCACTGTAACGCGTGTGTGCTGTAACGTTATCTGTACAACGTTTTTTTAAAGCCTTAAAGCTCTTCAAAAAGTATTCAAATCAGATGACTAAACATTTTGATTACTTTATTTAATTTCCAGGGGAATATGATTTAAAAACTCTATTATGATTCAGCCAAGGGTAAACGTAATACCGCCTATGCAAAACAAAAAAAAAAAAAAACTTATTTATTTTGGAATTTTTTCATTAAATCCAATTATTTTTCTAGTTCCCCCTGATACCCATAGGAATTTTTAAATACGTTTTCTATAAGTTTAGAAGAGTGAGTTGTAGTTTTGGGCGCTGAAGCGTGTTTAATTTTTTTTCTTTGCAATTTGGATACAATAACAGAGACACAGCGCCACTTGGCTCCCACTTTCCTCCATCTCCTCTCCTCTCTGGATGACGGCCTCTCCTCTCCGCGTTTCTCTGACTTGCTCAGAGCAGAGCCGGGGAGCACTAACAACAATTTCTCCCACTCACAGTTGGAAATGGTGGCCAGTACACAAGCTAAAATGGGTTTATTTCGACCACGACATTCAACATGAGTTGTCTGGTTCCATAGTTCCCAATTCTGAGTTCCGGGGCGTAATAATAGAGTTTTGTTCAATTAATTAGTGATACAAAATGAGGTTATAATTTTATGGCCCCACCACAACCACAACCAGGCGCGCACACATGCACACAGAACCAACGGGCAAACTACAAAAACGATTTGCGTATTTGTTTTCAACAAATTTGTGCTGAATTCTTCATGTTTTGCGTTCGTTTCAAGTATATTCAGTTTTCTGTTGTTGTTTTTGCTTTTATTTTATTTAAATAGAAGCAACAACTGCGATAAGGCGCGGTGGGGAAGGCCAGGCAAAAGTCGTGCCATGCCGTTCGAATTTCAGTCCGTACAGTGGGGCGAAAAAGCTTCGTTCGCTGCATACGATTTTTCAGTTTCAACTCATGTATTAATGGGGTATTCCAATTAGAAGGTTAACATGTTTTTCCTAATGTAAAAACCATAAGAGTATTTTAGGCTTGCTTTATAAAATTTCATATTTGTCTTAATTGATTATTTATTTTAAATCCTCTTAATAGAACTGCATATTGATTATTGTCCTTATTGTGTCCCACTGTCCTCTGCTCGCGCTCGTTCTGCTGCCTCTCGCTATTCCCTTCCCTCTCGCACCCATATCATGCTCCACCACCCTCCGCTCCGCCTCTTGCTCGTGCTCTTCCCCTGCCACCGGCACCCATGCTTTGGTGGCGGGCATTGCCAGCTGCGAAATACGCTCACTGCTTTAACGCTGATTGGAACTTTAAAGGGGCCTTTCGAACGGCATTTCTCATGGTCCCAGCATCAAAACAGAGAAACTTGTAATCTTGAATTGGCGCTGTTTTTTGGACACTCGCATGCATGCCGCTCACTTATTTTACCTTGCCTTCTCTGAGCGTTGGATAGAACTCTCCTCTCCGCTCCGCTCCTGGACTCCTATCCACATCCACTCTCCCCTATCACGGGCACCGAAGTCCGGAGCAGTCTCTGGTCTCCGCTCTTAAGCGGGACTTGATCTGCATACGCCGCATGAGAATGCGAGAATAGGTCAGACAGAGTCTCTGAGATGTGTCAAAAGTAACAGGTGATTGGATGGATTGTCGAGGAGAGAGGAGCGGAGAAAAGAGCATGTAGAGCGGAGTAGTGGGTCCAAGAGCGAGCCGGCTTTTCTCCCAGTTGTTGTTATTATTTACAGGATCTGTTGATATCAAAGCCAAAGAGCGAAGAAAGAGCCGTCCAATTCACAGGTTGGATAAATTTCTTATTTCATTTGGTTCCCATAACCCTTAGGTGCGCGTTGGCTCTATCTATCTATTCAGCATGAAACTATAGTAAAATCAATTTGCACATTTATTGATACTCGAATGACTTGGTGAATTTAACCGGTTTATCTCCTTCATCAAATTTTGTGAAATTAATTGACTAATTAGACTAGGATGATTTTCATAAAATTTTATTGACGTTTGAAAGCAATTATTATTACAATTGTTTGAAATAAAGTATTCAATCCCAATCCACTCGAAAGTTTTTGAAAATTACGTTCGTTTTATAGAAATAAAATGTAAAAGAAGTAGGAGATATTCCTGCTATTTGACTTTACCACTCCAAATTTTTTAAGTTTTTAACTTAATTTTGTTGTTCTGTCTGTGGCAGTGCCAAGGCGACCTGAAAAACTTGAATAACTTCTTGTTATTGTCTTAAAAAATAATTAAACATTGGGACAAAGTCTTTGTAGGTTCATGTATTTTGCACCCGAATCCGAATAGTTTTGGACCCAGACCCCTTGGACCTTTCTTATCGCCTCATTCAACCAGAAGCACCATTTTCCGGGCCCAGTGCTGCGATGCGATGGCCACATGTGTTTTGGGCTTGTGTTTTCCGACCAGAATATTTCCATTATTCAATATTTACCACCTTTTATAGTTTTGTTTACTATCTACGCCGTCTTGCTTGTCTTTCTCTCCCTCTCCTCTGCCTGCCCGAAAATACTCTTCTTCCACGAACAACGTCTCACTTAAATCCGCTCCATCTGGCAATGCCTTTTGACAACTGTACTTCAAAGAGCGTTGCCAGCCCAGTGCTCTCACAGATACACAAATACGGCAAAAAGCAAAGCAACCACCACACCGACACGGCGACACACCACCACGCGCGCCTGTGTTGAGCTGAGCGCATGACCAGAAATATTTCTCCCCCGTATAGAGACCGAAACGAAAACCCGCCGCGCTGGCAGAAGCAGAGGCAGCAGCGTAATTCGATCGAAGCGATTTTCTCACAAGAGCTCTGGCTGGGTCTCAGTTCGAGTTTTTCAACGTTGGCGAGCGGACAGCAGGAGAAACCAGCGAGCGAGTTAGCGAGCACCAAGAGAAAGAGAAGGGAAATCACCCACAGCAGTAAAATTTTCTTTTGCGCTCCGGTGAGAAGATAATTTCACACACCAAAATCACACAAAAAAGTGCGCTCCGCGAGCGGGAAAACAATAACAAAATAAAAAGCGCTACCAAGAGGGCCGAGATTATAAAACAACCAAGAACTGAGCGAGTGGGGGCAAAAAAGGAGAAAAAAAAACGAAATGCGTGTCTCATGGATTGACTGTACAATTGTGTATTAAATATGTGACTGCGGCTGTGTGCGTGCCTTGTGTGCTTGTGTGTGTCTTCTGCTGCGTTTTTAAATGTGTTTCAGTTGGCGCGCTATTTTTGTGTGATTTTCCCAGCAACAAATTTTGAAACAAAAAGTTTTTTAGCTGCTGCCCCCCCAACAACAAAATTCCTGTGAGCAGCAGCAGTGTTGTCTCGCTCTGGCCCCAACCGAGGGGGAGAGAGCGGGAGAACGGGCGAGAGAGCGAGAGCACACGAGTACGAGCCAGCTAACTCTTGTTCTCTTTTGCACACCGTTTCAGTTTCGTGAAAGCAGCGCGCGAAGAAGGAAGAAGCAGCAGGAGCAAAAGCAGAATCAGCAGCAGGAGGAGGAGCAGACGGGATTTGTGCGAAATCCCGACTTGGAAGAGAGAATTTATCCCCAGACCCGTGTAATAAAACGTCGTCGTGTTGGAGACAAATAGCAACGAATACGCTAGCAACGCTGGAGAGGAACAACAATTGTTGGACTTGGACGCGACGGCCCTAATGTCGCTGCCAATGAACTCGCTGTATTCGCTCACCTGGGGCGATTACGGCACCAGTCTCGTGTCGGCCATCCAATTGTTGCGCTGCCATGGCGACCTCGTCGATTGCACGCTGGCCGCCGGCGGGCGGAGTTTTCCCGCCCACAAGATAGTCCTCTGTGCCGCCTCCCCCTTCCTTCTGGACTTGCTCAAGGTGAGTGTAAGAAGTGCATCGTGCCAAAAGGTGAAAAAAGAGAGTGGCGCTGTCGTGCATAACCTCAAACGTGGCGTACACTGTACAGTTTGTAAACAGAGAAATCCAATGGCAGAAATAGGTTAATGTGTGGAGCGCAGAGAAACTTGCACACTCACACTCGCATACGAATATCTCGGAGATTTACGCTCCGCTCCAAAAGTTGTCTAGAGATTTCCGTACAAGTTTTCCACTGTCAATTGAGCTGAATGAGTTGGCACCAGCTCCCCTTCTTCTTGCCACCTCTTATCAAAAATACTGCCGTTTTTGTTGTAAAGTTTCACAAAAGTGACTGGCGAGAGGGAGAACGAGAGAGGCGCAGAGCGCAGATGGAGAGTGAGAGAGCGAGAGAACCAGTTGGTTCAGACGGAGCCAGTGGTGGGTGGGTGGCTGGGGGGAAAGCGAGGGTGAGAAGCAAAAGCTGCGCAGCGCCAACTTTCCGTTGGCGTGTGTTAGAGCGAGCGCAAACGAGAGCGCTATAAAGGCAGCGTGGAGCTGTTGTAGTAGTTGTTGCTGCTTTGTTGGAGCTTTTGCCTCGCTTTCCGTTCTTGCTGTTGTTGCTTTGGGTGCACACGAGCGCGACCTCTTTTCGCTGGCAGAACTGTACAGTTGAAACTGGATATGGGGGAATTTCCAACTCATTAAAACACTGTAAAATATGAAAAACATTTCTAAAATGAGTGTGTTTTAAATGTAATAATGTTCCACAGGTGAACTTTCCATGATTTTATAATTTCCAAAAAAGAGTGATTATAAAATTAGTTCCGTTCATAGGTTCCATCCTGTGCTTGTATTTGGAGTATTTCATATCAGGAAGGGAATGTTTTTCGGTGGAGCTTGCTATTTTTTCTTTATTTTCCCTATATTCTGTAGAACATTTGCGATACTGTACTTTTTTATTTAGTTGTTTGATTCGATTTGCATTTGCACTTTGCTTTCACGTTTCTAATGGATGCGTGCACAATGCACACCAAATGGAATATTTATCCGATTCGGACATTATATAGACCGTTCCTATTGCGTGGTTTTTATCGAAATGATGACCAAAACAGAGCGCGGCCAGCGAAATAAAAACACCTGATGTGACGCCGGCGACGCGGCTCTTCTCTTCTCTAGCTCTCCTTTCCGCTCCTCTCCTGTCCTCTCCTCTTCTCTCTGGTGCTGAAAAAAGTAAACAGAGCGTAATTTTTAAAAACGCCGCTCAGAGTCGGCGGTGGGGAAAATGTCAAAAACAGAAAAGAAAAATGCGGCTGTGAACTCTGCAAGAGTCCGAAATGTACAAGATGTACTGATCTCGTTACACTCACACACGCACGCAAAACACATGGCGGTCGCTCTTGGTTGCTCCCGCTCCCTCTTCCGCTTCCTCCAACCCCACCCCCAATCCATCTCCCCCACGCACACACAGACTCGAGACTCAGAATGCAACTCACAGAAAAATCGATGAGCGAAACGGCAAAGGGAGTGTGAGCGATAGAGTTCAAAGAGCGAAGTGAGAGGAGCAGGAAAAGGGGAGGAGGTTGTAGATGACATTTGAAGAGATTGGCATTGGTCTTTATTAAGAGGAAGAAGAAGAAGAGGGTGGTTGGTTGGTTGGTTTGTTGTTCTTCAACTCTGAGCAGCGCTTACTAATTAAATGTCCAGAGAGGGAGTGAGAGTGGGAGCGGGAGAACTGGCTGAGCGGTACTAGTGAGTAAGTGGAGGTAGATGTGTGTGAGTGCTCTTTCTTTCTTGAGCTGTGCTCTGTTTTCTTTTTTTGAGCATCTCTCCTCCTCGAAATCTCCGCCAATCCTGCTGCAGAATGTGCAGAGCGCGAAAAGTAAAAGCCGGTCGCTGGCGCTTGGCACTTGTGTGCGTGAGCGGCGGTGAGTTTCCATTTCCATCTCTGTCTCCATCTCCGACTAGGTTTGTTTTTGTTTTTATTTTTTGTTTGTTTGCCTATACCACGCTTCTCATCCGCCAAATGTAGAGAGCCACCAAAACAAGAATCCCGCTATAGGATTGAGAAAAAGAACCTCTTAAGTTGCTTAGATTCAAAACATATGGGAAATGTACGTTATTACATTTTTATTAGTATTTGGAATATATTTAATTTTTGGAAATAATTATTATTCTGACTTTTTACCATTTATTAAATATTTATTTTCCCTTCATTTTAATTACAGAACACACCATGCAAGCACCCAGTTGTGATGTTGGCCGGCGTCAATGCCAACGATTTGGAGGCATTGCTGGAGTTTGTCTATCGCGGCGAGGTGAGCGTTGACCATGCCCAGCTGCCGTCGCTGCTGCAGGCTGCCCAGTGCCTCAATATCCAGGGACTGGCACCGCAGACGGTGACCAAGGATGACTACACCACGCATTCGATACAACTACAGCACATGATACCGCAACACCATGACCAGGACCAACTGATTGCCACGATTGCCACCGCTCCCCAACAAACGGTACATGCCCAAGTGGTGGAGGATATCCATCACCAGGGACAGATTCTACAGGCAACAACCCAGACCAATGCAGCAGGACAACAGCAAACGATTGTGACAACGGACGCGGCTAAGCACGACCAGGCAGTGATTCAGGCATTCCTCCCGGCACGGAAGCGGAAGCCACGTGTTAAGAAAATGTCACGTAAGTTAACGTTCGATAATAATCTATAATAAACCTTAAAAAAATATGTTTAATTTTTTCTATAATGAATCCCAATTTTTTTTTTATCATGCACAGCCACGGCACCGAAAATCAGCAAAGTTGACGGAATGGATACAATTATGGGCACACCGACCTCTTCGCACGGCTCGGCACAAGGATCAGTACAACAGGTTCTGGGCGAAAATGGAGCTGAAGGCCAACTTCTGACGTCGACACCGATCATCAAGAGCGAAGGACAAAAGGTGGAGACAATTGTGACCATGGACCCCAATAATATGATACCGGTAACGTCAGCCAATGCGGCCACGGGCGAGATAACAACGGCTCAAGGAACCACAAGCTCATCCGGCGGTGGCAACACCAGCGGCAGCGCATCCACACCCAAGGCAAAACGTACCAAGCATCCGCCTGGAACGGAAAGTGAGTTTTGTTTATAGATTTGGTAAAGATTTTTCCTTAATGACATCTCCCTTTTTTCCTCCTAGAACCACGGTCGCGATCACAATCGGAACAACCAGCCACTTGCCCCATTTGTTATGCTGTCATTCGACAATCTAGGAACTTGCGACGACATCTTGAGCTGCGGCACTTTGCCAAGCCGGGCGTCAAAAAGGAAAAGAAAAGTAAGTCCGGTAATGATACCACCCTAGACACCAGTATGGAACTGAACACCACGGCTGAGGAGGGCGACACTACGGTGGGCAGTGAAGGAGCGGTAGCTGGAGGAGCGGGATCAGCTGGCGGAGCATCGTCTGGTACAACGCCAACGAGAGTGATATCAGCAACTCAGACACTCCAGCAGGTTCTGCCTCAGCAACAGCAGCAGCAGCAACTACAACAGCAACATCAGCAGCAGCACATGACCACGGCAACGTTAGCGGGTGGCGGCCAGGCATACATCAAACATGAAGGCGGCGGCGGAGGAGGTGCTGGGCAGCAGGCACAACAGCAGGGAATGCAGAACGTCATACATATTGTCGGCGATCAGGTCGTCTTTCCTCAGCAACAGCAGTAGCAGTAGCAGCAGCAGCAACAGCGACAACAGCGCCTCCTGCCCGAGCCTTCAATCATTCCAACGCACCAACAACGACACCGTCATTCGCATTTCCAACACCACACACACACATACGCATAACACACACACACACTGAAACGATTTGTAAATAACAAACAAAATTCCCCGTGATCTGATCCGAATGATTTGTGTTCATTTCCCTCCGTATCATTTTTAACTTTTCCACATACTTAATTGCTGCGTAAGTTTGTTTTTAATTTGCAAAAAAAGATTTCCGATAGTAGAGTGCTTTTTTTCACATAAATAACATGACATCCAATTTTCTTATGCAGTATTTTCTTGCATAGAAAGAGACAGAGAAAGCAAATAATATCTCCACGTAAATAAATACTCGACTAATAATTTACTTAATAATCGAATTAGTGTCGCAAATAATTGTTGTAAAAATTAATAATTGTACAATTACAATCGAGGATCGCAATCAGTTTAAGTTTCTCTATTTTAAATATTATATTACGAATTGTTTAATTAATAAAATATTATATATTTTTTTATATAACCAAAAAACAAACCGAAAAACCCGAAATTAATCTCTGCCTGTGGCACGAACTCTATAATTTATTCCAATTGGCTGTTCTCTCGTTTATCGTTTATCGTTTCTCTTTGTTGCAAGAAAATACTGTTGTTGTTGGTGGATTGATTTCCTAAGCTACTAACATTTCTTCGAGGAAGTTGCATCCTAAATGTGTTGTTAATTCTTCAAAGGAACTCTTTCGTTTCTTTCGAAAGTTGTTCGGATTTTTAATGTTTCGGAATTATTCCATAACATCTTATAGATTTTACTTTTTTTTCTTTTAACAATTTTTTTTTAACTACTTTTTACTTTTATTTTACAACTAAATCTATTTTAAATGTTTTGTTTTCTTTAACATTGCTTTTGTTTATTTTTAATTTTTATTTAACATTGTTTTGTTTTTTTTTGTGCTTTTATTTCTACACTTTCTCATGCTTACATCTCCTCCACACACAACTTCACATTCTCTCACTTGTTGTAGTCTCCTGAAGGTCGTCTTGTCTCTATAGTTGTTGGGCCTGCAACGTTGCCGTAGTAGTGTCGTCCTCTCGGCTTCTCTTAGTACTATCAATCCTATACCTTTGCCTAGTTTTGGTCCCTTTCTGCGGCACCTCGACTCACCAGCAATGCTTCCTTCCTTGCAGCACCCAGCGGCAAGAAATCAGGCAACGGATCTAGTGGCTCAGGATCAGCTGGTGGCGGCACACTAAGCTCCAGCAGTGGGGTACCCCAGGTGCAGGCAGTGCAGTCGCTGCATACCTTGCAGGGTGTGCAGGTTAAAAAGGATCCCGATGCCCAACAACAACAGCAGCAACAACAGCAACAGCAGCAGCAGCAACAACAACAGCAGCAACAGCAACAACAGGCAATGGCAGTGAGCGGCTCGGCGGGTGGACAAGTGCAGCAGGTGCAACAGGTGCAAGTCCAGCAGCAACAGCTACAGCATCACCAAATCATTGACTCCTCCGGCAACATAACTACGGCAACGACAAGCGCCCAAGCGGCGGCGGCAGCTCAACAGCAGGCAGCCGCCGGTCAACAGCAGCAACAACAGCAACAGCAGCTGGTGGCGCAGTCCGGCGATGGCAGTGAGAGCGGCGGAACACCGCTGTCCATTGCCCAGGTGCAAACGCTGCAGGGTCATCAGATCATAGGCAATATCAATCAGGTGAATATGACTGATTTCCAACAGCAACAACAACAACAGCAGCAGCAGCAACAACAGCAAACACAACAACCACAACAGACGCTTTGATTGGACGGAAAAACGTAGTTAGATCCATTATGTACTATTATTATTTTTGGATTTGCCAAACCAAACGCTTTAAGTAATGCGTAGACCAATTCTAAATGAATTCTTCAAATTAATTGAAGATACAAAAAAAAAAAAACTCTTGATATCCTCTGATATCTTGGTTGAACCATCTTTAGTTGTACAATTTTATTGACTTTACATGTTGATTTTCCTCCTACAATATATTTTCTCTATATTATATTTAGTTTTGTTGCTAGAGTTTAATGTTGTAGGTGCGCCACGGTTATTGGAATTCACATGCATAACTTTTAAACATATACATATATATCTTTTTATACAATTATATATATTTGTTTTGTATCAGAGCTTGCAAATAACAATTGTTTCGGTAAAGGTCTAATTTACAGATTCTTTTTAAAAATATATTTTTCAACAGAAAGAGTATTTTAATTGAAAATTTTTCAACTGTTATTTACTAGCTCTGTTTTGTATAGTTTTAAACCCATGTCCCAATGCCCCAGAGGTTCTCTAGTGTCGTGATCAGTGAAAGATGCTCTTGCTCTCGTTTTGCCAGCTGGGCTGGCCCTGAGCGATGGCAACTTTAGTTAAATATAAATACGTTAAACACACCTTAGTTTAGTCCGATAAACCCAGATTATAATCCATATTTACTTAAAAAAATACAGCTCAAAAAGGAGAGTTGAACTGATCAAATGAGAGAGCTCGCTCACCAAAAAACCCCTTTCTTTCTGTGGGTTTAGTTCGTTTTCATTGTACATTTTTAATCAAATAATGTATATTTCTTAATTTTAATAGTTGGAAATTTTAAATAATTATATGGAAACCAAAACCCTACGTTCTCGTTCTCAGATAAATGGAAGACTTATTGCCTCGTAGAAATTATGATTTAATTGTATAAATTAGAAAGCAAGAGGAATATATTCCATATATCTGAAGATGAGTGACTTTATTTTTAGTCTTTTTTTAAATATACTTAAATAAAATTTAATTTTATTTAAAATTAAAAAAAAAACATATATTATATATAATAATAATATAGTAAGGAAAAATAATAAACCGAAAATTGTTTACATAAAAACTTTTCCCAAAAGTATTTTCTTTTTATTTTAAATGCTTGATTTGGTGATGGAGATGTATAATTTAACAATTTAGAAAGTAAAAGTAGTAATTTTTAAGTTTTGTTTTTAATTTTATATAATTTTTAAAAATTTATGGTTGAAGTTGCTTGTGTTCTTTACAAAACAAAGTGTATAAAGGCTTTATGACGTATTTTTATTACCATTTTGAATGCATGTGCTTAATATTTTCTTTATTATTTGTTGTAAAATATATTGTGTTAAATTTTTTGACCAATTTAAACAGAGACTCTGGACCATACTCTCAAATATTCATAACCTTGTGACTAAGCTGCACTTGAGAGTTATTGCTTTAAAACCTTTAAAAAACACAACCACACGACGCATTGTCTCACCTCATTTTTACACCTGAAACCATTTTTTTGTGAGGCACATAAACTAAACCATTAACAAATCGTTTTATCTTGTCTTCTTCTCTCTTTCTCGCTGCCACGCTAAATAATAAAATCACCATTTAACCAATCAAATATATAATATATATGTGTTCATAATGCATCTCAATCAATCAATCAATCAATCAATCAATCAATCAATCCATATTGTAATATCCATCCAAACATTGCAACAATCGAAACTAAAGGGCAACAATAAGAACATTTTGGTAAAGAAGGTTTTCATTTTGAAAGGCGGTAATAATACGTAATGATGAGCCAACGATATGACCAGCGGCCCTGGAGGAGGAGGAGGAGGCGGGAGCGGGCAACAGCAGCAGCAGCTTAGCAACACGAGCAGCGGTAGTGTCAGCAACAACGGTGCCTCGGCAGCGGCAACCGTAAGCAGCAGCAACAGCGGTAATAGTAGGAGCAACACGCCAGCCACATCAACATCATCGACTGGAACTGGTACAGGAACTGGAGGAGGCGCCACATCAACGCTCCAGCGTCGCATTCTGCGCGGTCATGCGGCACAGACCACCAGCGGCGAGCGTGTCCTACTCATTAACTATGTGCCGCAGTCGGGCACGGGAGCGGGATCGGGAGCAACAGCTTCCGGATCCGTATCCTCCGTAGCCACTCAGAGCACATCAACTCAATTGCCCACCACCCGTAAGATTCTCCAGGCCAGAGCCTCGGCGGCGGCAGCAGCAGCATCATCATCCGGCGGGGGAGGAGGGACAACCTCTTGCTCCCCGCCAGCTGTCTCGTTTGCCGGCCTGGGCTCCGAGGTGACCGTCACCTTGACGCGCACTAATCAGCGCGCCAGCGTGAGCAGTGTCACAGCCGCCGGTCATATTGTAAGGAACCAACAGCAACAAGCCAACACGTATCATCACCAGAACACGACCACAGCCAGCACAGCATCGACTTCGACCGGGACAACGGCGGCTATACATGAGCATATAGCAACGTCAACATCGCCGCCGCCTCTAGTATTTACCCATCACCCACATCATCATCATCAACAGCAGCAGCAGCAACATGAGTACCACCAACACCATCAGCTGGAACAGGAGCACATAATCATAGATCATCATCAGCAGCAGACGGAGGATGACCAGTTGATCGAGTACGTCGATGATGGCGGAACGATCGAGGAGCAGCATCATCACCAGTTGCAGCTGCAGGAGGAGGAACAACAGCAACAACACCAGCAGCAGCATCATGACGTTGTCCAAGAGGTTTATCTCCAGTAAGAGAGACAGATCCGATCCGAGAGTTAAGCATTAGCAGGATAAGTTTTTAGCCATTTAATAAGCCATAGGTTTTGGAAATTCCCAAAGTGTGTGATGATTTAATTCAAAATATTGACCTTAAATTGTTAATTTTCTTAACATTTTAAAGAAATATAATGATTCCGTGTAATCAGAGCTACCACAGAAATCGCAAACAATTTGAAGTCTAAAAAAAAGACAAATATTTTGCAAAATGTTAATCAAATTTAGCTTTTTATAAATTACTGCTCACACATTTTGGAAAAAACCAAACAGAAAAATATTGTACATAACTCCAAATTTGTATTTGAAACCTTACCAATTTGTACATAGTTTTCTCGGTAAAAAGTACATATTTTCCATTGAAAATATATATCTAACAATATTTACATATATATATTGAAGGCAAATTCAATTAATTAGTGTTTAAATAAAGATTATTTTTGTACCATACACAATTAAACCCATAATATACAGATATCAAAAATTCTAGTTGAGAAAATAACTGCACATATTTAAATAATTAATCACTGACAGTAGTTACTAGTGATTATTGTCAGTTTGCAGATCAAAAAAACCTAATAATAAATTGTAATATATATCGACTTCAAATTAGAAACAAAAAGAAATGTTCGCACATAAAACGTATTCAATTCTGATTGTTTAAAAAACTGTTGAAGAACGGAAGAAGGGCCCCTTAGAATTATCAATGGGATGGATATATCCCATCCGTAGGAAAACATATATTTGTCAAGTATGTAAACCCAGTATTTTTGGGGCCAAGGCAATAAAAGCGAGCCGGTTTTGTGTACTGAAAGTGAACCAGTGAAATGTGTTTTTATTTCCCCAAAAACGAGTGTTTCCCCAAAAACAAGTACAACCTTTAATTTAATTATTTATTGTTTGTTTGCCTTTTTAACTGTTGCCTATACACAATGTTTGTCTTCTCTAAATTACAAAAAGCCATTTAACAACTAATCTTTTGTTTTTTTTTGTTAATTATTTACAGGTTTTTCTTTTTAGCAAACTAAAGTGCTAAAAAAATATTACGTACTACTATAGGTTTTCGTTTCGTTATTATTAAATTTACAGGAAGGTTCGTTACAAATTAAATTTCTCGGACCTATAGGGAGTTCGGGTGGAAGCTTAAATTGGAGGAGCGCTTGCAAAAAGTGTGGATTATATATGTAGCTTTGTAATTGAATTGCAATATATCTACAATACACTTTATATAATCAGGCACTAGCTAGACAATGTTTTTCTCTCCTCAATTGCACAGCTATCTCAACTAATTTTGCTTTCTATATAATTTTAAAATGTTTTAAAATGCAAATTGAAAAGATTATTGTTCCAAGTTGATCTTATATAACACTTTTGGACCTGCATTTATGTTGATTTATATGTAGTTCTCATTTAGTTTTATTCTTTAAGCGTTTTTAACTTTATATATCAATTTAAATTTTCGGATTATTTAGTTTTGTTTAAAGTTTTCCGTTTAATTTGGCAATCTATTAACTTTTTAAGTACCAATTTTTGTTGTATTTAATTTTTCCCTTTGCTAGTTGCAGCTGTAAAATGTTGCCTTGCTATTAGAATTACTTTTATTATTATGGTTTTTGGCCCAATCTACTTGGCACTTTTCATGAGGCGACTGCTGGCAAAGCATTCGCCAAAGAAGCGATCCAACGAATGATACAAATGCGGACGCACATTGGACAGGCCATGGTCCTCATCGGCATAGCTCTGCAATAGAGTTTTTTGTTTTTAATAATATATAATTATGAGAAGCTTTAAGGTGAACTTACTATCTGCTTGAACAGAATATCGTGACGCTCCAGATTCTTGGCCAAGATCATGGCCTGCTGATAATGAACATTGTCATCGAGGGTGCCATGGACCAGCAGATACTTCTTGCCCCTCAGCTTTTGTGCCTGTGTACTCAGTCTGGAGTTGGCATAGCCCATCTCGTTTGTATTGGGCAGGCCCATGTAGCGCTCCGTGTAAATGGAATCTGTATAAGAAATATTTAATAAATTTTCTGCTAAAAAGTTAATTTACAGTGTAAACTCACCATAGTAAGCCCAGTCTGTGACTGGAGCTATGGAGGCGGCACACTTGAACACCTGGCTGTTATCATTGGCCAGAGCCATGGCAGCGGCATAGCCACCATATGACCAGCCCCAAATGCCAACGTGATCCTTATCTATATAGTTGAACATTTGAGTGATGTTTCTATAAAAACAAAAATTTAATTTTAAATTTATTAATATTTTTAAAAATGAGAAACCCAAATGTAGGGAAGTAAAATAGACTTTAGATTCGTGTTCAGCAATTTCTAAATTTGTAATTGTATATTCTCTTTCATTTTTTAGAAATAATAGACAAATATTTTTATGAGTATTCTAAATACTTATATAAAATATTAAAAGAAAACCATACTTACTGCGTAACCTTGATCTGATCAGTGATCTCCACAGTGCCCAGCTGCAGGTAAATGGCATGTAAAAGATTCTCGCCGCGGAGTCCAGAGCCACGACCATCGATCTTGGCATAGATCACAGACTGATTTGAGGTGAGATATGTGCCCCAGTCCAGCATCCATTTGTTGGTTACCTAAACAAAGGATGTTGGTTATAATTTCTGGTGAATTTAAATTCTTCTCTATCTTTAAGCTTACGGAATAGGAATCTGGTCCGCCATAGACATCCACTAGCATGGGATATTTGGTATTGCCACTGGTATCCAGATTGGGTGGCAGCTGAAGCAGAACCTTGGCCTGGAAGCCACCATCAATATTGAATGTCAGGATCTTGTGAGAGGGCAGGGCCACGCCCTTAAGCTTGCCACGCAGGCCCTCATTGGTCTCCCAATCCAGGACATTCGAGATGACAACTTGAGCTGAAAAATAAGATTTAAATATAAACTTAAGTTATATAATTAAAATCTTTAAAAACTTACAGTTCTCAAATTTCCACTCGTAAATGTGTGTGGTGGGTATTCCGGGTCCCAGGGAGGTGATCACAATGTGGTTATTGTCATTGAATGTCGCCGAGAAGTAGGTCTGTTGCACATCTCCGGACTTGATCAGGTTGCAAGTGAGGCACTTGGGACTCTGCTTGGCCAGAGCTCGAATCGCATACAGATGGAGTTGCTCCGGATGATCCTCTGTGTTGGCTGTGTAAAAGATGACATCGGTGGCGCCATCCCAGTGAAGGATGCTGTCCACCACATACTTGCCCTCGGTCAGAGGTTCCAGAACCTGCAACTCTGCGCTGGCCACATTTGAGTTAAGGAGCTGCAAGTGCTTGTAGTTGTTGTGCGGCAGGACAAAGGCCAAACGGGAGCCATTGCGATTACGGAAGGGAGCGGTATAGAGGTCCACCCAACCCGTCTTTGATTCGGTGCTGTAGATCTGATAGGCAGAGAGGAATCAAGGATATAACCAGCTGCAATCTTCATATATGTATATTTCAGTAGAATCACTTACCACCCGCCTGTTGAGTCCATCAAAGGTTACCACATAGGCGGCATTCTGAATGCGGTTCATCCAAATGGACAGGACATTGGCATCGTCCACCCAACTGACCACGGTGACTATGTAATCCGTCTCCGTATTCAAAGCCGCCGGCACGGGCATCACAGTAATGAAATCTCCACCAGAAACTGCTCTCTTCAGGTCAACCATTACCAGTTCCACGCGAGGATTGGAGGAACCAGCCTTGGGATAGGCAATCACCTGGTGTAGAGGATACTGATAGCGCAAATCGCCGGCATCGCCGTAGTAGGGGAAGTTAATCTGATGCGTGGTCGAATCATCGAACTTAATGAAGGCCAGTTGGGTTCCAGACGGATTGAACCACGTGGCCACATTGGAACTGAACACCTCCTCCTCGTACACCCAGTCGGGAATGCCATTGAGTACGCCCGACTGTTCCGAATCACTGGTGATGGCAATCTCCGTAGCAGTGGCACTCTCCTTGTAGTACAGATTGCGATTGAAGTTGATCACCAGAGCGTTGCCCACGGGCGCCCATTGCACCATGCTCAGGTAGAGCTGCTGGCCCTCGATGGTCAGTGGAGTGAATGACTTTGTGTTTAGATTGTACAGGTCATACTCTGCCAGAAAGCTGTATCGGAAGTTCTTCTTGTAGTTCTTTGCCAGCAGCAGATACTGTCCATCGGCGGACTTCTCATACAGAACATAGTGGGAGGCACCATCGAGGAGGGAGCTACGAGCTCCTGTCTTGGCATCAAACTCCATGATGGACTGTAAAGGGGTAGAAAGGAGTATTGTGGAAAAAATTATATGAAAAATACAATTTAAAACGAGACTGGGCAACAAAATTTATATCTCTATTACTCTTGTTTTGAATAATTTAATAATATTTGCATATTTAAATACTTAAATTGTTTCCCTTACCGCATTCTCCTTGTATATCAGACTGTCACCATTGCTCCAGCTGCCGTTGAATCGCTTGGCATATAGTTGACCGCTCAGCACATCCTCCAGATCAATGGCATTATTGTTATTATTATCCGAATCACCGGAATTATCCTTTTCATCTGTCCGAAGGATGAACACCAAGGCAGTGGCCAGCAGAGCCAAGGCAATGACTGCGGTCACAACGCTCAGAATAATTCGAATACGGCGCTTTTTCTCCTTGGAATGCATTAGATTCTATTTTAGAGTGGGAAAAACAAAGAAATTATAATTTAATTATAAGAAAAATTTTAATAATTTTAAAAGAAATGTAAACTATACATTTTATTGTAACTAAAGCTAAGTTTTTATTATTTTAAGATTACAAAATATATTAAATTAAGTCTAAGCCTTTAAAAAGAGCTTAACAAATTGATTTTTTTCTTAAGTTATATAGTTTATAAATTTCTCTTTTAGGAATTCTCTTAAATATAAATTAAATATGTAAGAGTATTTTAATTTAATGCTTTTCCTCTTTTATCACCAGCAAAACGATTAAAAATAATCCTTTCCAAACGAATTAATGTGTCTAAAATTTGTTTTATTTTTCATTTACTTTCGAAAACCATCAAGTTCATTAACCCCCCTTTTTTCCATGCAGGGAAAATGGGCTTTCATTTCCTCAATTTCCTTTTCCATTCACATTTCACGAATCGGGCACCTTTCTGGGCTGATCAAAAAAGTGCAAGTTGGCCAGGTTAAATTATATATTGCGCACTTTTGGCCAATTTGGATACGATCTTTCTGCCTAATCGGATAAGCCAGACACGTCTGTATGTCTGTATATATATGGAAAGTGGCGTTGCGCATGCGCAATGACTATTTCTTTTTGCTCTTTCTCTCTTCACTCAACGCGTTCCACTCAAAAAGATTCGGCCTAAAGGGGCTACTGGAAGTGTGAGCCCAAAAAGCTGGAGGAGAGCGAAAATGAAAGTAGTTTTTTGTTAAGACTGGGTCGCCGACAACTGGTTTATGCTACTGACCAGAGATGTACGTATATAGTATATAATATATATATGAGCAGATAGAAAGGGGTACAAAGGGGCTGGCAGGGGTCTCAATTGCCGCATGACGCAAGCAAAATACAATCAGAAATTGCTGTTTACGTATCGAGTGTTTATTTGGGACCTGTCTGGGGTTTCTTATTTTCGCCAAGTTTGTGAGCTGTTTCTTTTACATAATTTAACATTACGCGACAAAAATAATTGAAGTTGTCCACGCCTCGGTAAGACAAGGAAATTTGGGGCTTTTGTTTAGTCTTTTCACTTTTTTGTTACTTTTTTTTGTTTGTTTTTAAACCCAACTTCGATGTGTTAATTGAGCTGTTGAAATCTATCATTAA